ACAACCCCCACCTGAAAAAGGGAATTTTGGATTATTCAGACGGATAAGATAACGCTGACTCAGCCCCCTCTATCCGCCAGGCCCGCTGCCTAGAGCCCTTCAGGTAAGTATATATGGCTATGGTTGTGTACTTTTAACAGGGTTTTGTCGTTTTATTCATGTTATATGGGTGTAAATTATAGACATGTACAAGATTTAATGCCATATATGGATCGCAATACGATCTATAACTAGGGTTTATGGTCTAATATGTGACTAAGTAGTACTGTTGATGCGGGCCTTCTCAAAGCGCCGAGCCCAATGAATACCCAAGTCTCCAAGCGAAGTTGCACAATGAGTCAAATCAAAATTACACAGAATAGAGTGGAACTTGAATAGAGACCCCCCATTACAAATCGTACATCGTCTACTCCGTACAGTTCGAAGATTTTGAGGACCCCGGAGAACGAGGGGCGATAAGCTACACGTGATCCTATCAATCCCACTTTTTCCTTTTTTTCCTGCGATACCAAAAACTTTGACCAAAACCAAAGATGCCGCCCAAACAGTGGATGTACGTATTGCGTGAGGATAATTATGGCGCCAAAGCTGACATGTTCATAGTGACAAGAAGAACGCGAGCAAGTTCCAGCTCTTTCACCGGTCTCAAAATGACCCGTTGATCCACGATACCAGTGCGGATGACCGTTTCCTGTACCAGGTCGGAGGTCCCGCACCTGCGCCCGCATCGACCACATCGAAGAAGTTGCCAAATTTGTCTGATCTCCGAACCGAATACGGTGACAGTGCTCGCGCAAATGAAGGCGAGGCTGCCAACTACGGCGTCTACTACGATGACTCCAGCTACGATTACATGCAACATCTTCGCGAGCTGGGAAGCGGCACCGGAGATGCGTACTTCGTCGAAGCCAAGAACGAGAAGGCGAAGGGCAGGGCTGGTCGAGGAATGAAGCTGGAAGATGCGCTGCGACAGGTCTCCCTCGTGGACAAAGATACCTACAGTCAGGGTGCCTCAACCGGTCCCAGTCTTTATGGCTCCCAATATGGCGATATGCGCTCAACTACTTCGTCCTTTGTCCGCAAGCCAACCTATCAAGACCAGCAGAACGTCCCTGACGCAATTGCTGGATTCAAGCCTGACATGGACCCGCGCCTGCGAGAGGCATTGGAGGCGCTGGAGGACGAAGCCTTCGTAGAGGAGGGTGATGCTGACGGAATATTTGGCGAATTGACAGCCAATGCGGAGGAATTAGACGAGGGTGACTGGGAGGATACTCTGTTCGACCACGATGTCGAAGATGATGGATGGGAGTCGGATGCTACGGAGAAAGCGCCCGTACAGCCGGACAGCACTGAGGCTCATCGCTCAATGGATACAGAGGGGCCTGCAAAGCCACCAATGGACCTCGGCGATTTGCCTGAACACGATGAGCCGGCTCCCGATATGGAGCCCACTGACCAGAGTTGGATGAACGAGTTCGCCAAGTTCAAGAAAGATGCTAAGGCCGGTAATGCTCCCGCACCGGCTCCACCCACAATCGCAGCATCACAGACGATGGCATCGACCGTCTTCACTGCTGGTGGAACGCCAATTCGCCGAAAGAAGCGCAAGGGTGCTCTGACCAACCCGTCTGCGTACTCGATGACGTCGTCCGCTCTGGCTCGTACTGCGGGCCACCGTCTCCTCGATGACCGATTTGACAAAGTTGAGCAGCTTTACTCTCTTGACGAGGAAGATGAATACGACGACAGTATGTCAATGATCAGTGGAATGACAGGCGCAACTGGCATGACGGACATGTCCACCGCATCATCCCAGGCCCCCAGTCTGATCGATGGTAACGGTGAAGCCGTGCACAGCCGCAGCACCTTCAACAACGTCATGGACGACTTCCTCTCCAGCTGGGACCCCAACACCAGTGGACAGGCCAAGCGACACGGCGCCAAGCACAAGCGTGGTCGGAACGGTAACGAGGCCATTGGCATCAGAATGCTCGACGAGGTGCGATCCGGTCTCGGCCCAGCTCGAATCCGACCCGAGAAGACCAAAGTGCCCGGAAGAGCTTAGATGAAGATTTGCACAGCATATGAGACGACGGGAATCCCCAGTCATGACATGGCGTTTGGCTTTTTATTACTTATTTTATTACGGCATTCCTGTGCGTTAGGGTTGATATCTCTTGATGGCTAGACCAAAAGTTATGTTTATGTCTCGATGCTCTATTTTATATCCTTACTCTCCATGGACGAGTACCTTTTCTATAACAGCCCACGAATTTACTCGTAATCCACTGGCATCATGCAACTGAGGCTGCTCTTTTTCATCATAAAGAACAGCCAGGATCCCCTCCCCCCGTGCAGCTTGAACATCGCGAATCCCATTATCACCGAAGTATACAATATCTTCAGCAGCGATACCATATTTCTCCAGCACAACACCAAACAGCCCATCTACCTTAGACTTCCCGACCTCGTTTGTCGTCACAAGAATATCGATGTAAGACTTTATCCCGAGTTCCTGGACCGTCCACTCCTGCGCATCTGCCGGGCCCTCAGTAATGACAATAACTTTCTTCCCCAGCCCTTGCAAAGTCTGCAAAAGATGCAATGCGCCCACCTTGAGAGCCAAGTTCTCGCGTAGAGACTCTCGATATACCTCTAACAGACGATCCAACAGAGACTCATCAGTGAGCCCATGCGATTGGAGAAGACGCCCGAACCGTTCGCGCCGGTAGTCGCTTGATGTCCTGCCATCTGTGAAGGCATTTGCGGTTGCACTGCGTAGGATATCTTGGTATGTGTTTCTGAGGATCTCTATGCTGATCTTGTTGTTTGATGCGTGAATTGTTTCAAAGACGCGGACTGAGGCATTGGTCGAGGCTCGTCGGAATTCGTGGAGCGTGTCATCTAGATCGAACCCGAACCAGGGTTTTGAGACAATTTCTTGGATAGACATGGAAGAACTTCAGGCCGTGGTTATTCTTGATTTTGGTATAATCGAAATAGGAGAGATGGACTCAAAGTGTATGACTCATGATATTCTCGGATGGTGTGATAGTCTCAGCCACCACATCAATCTATATCTCGGTATATTACAGGTTCTATTATTTCCAAAGTGATATTTACACAAAAGACCAAGAAGAGAATTAGAAGGCGCCGCCAACCTTCTCTACAATCCACATGGAAAGTCTCACATTCCATCCGACTCGTCTTTCCGTTCGCATCAGGTCATCTCTCGAGATAGGGCTGGAGTCTTTCTGAAGCCGCTCCGTCTCTTCACCCAGCTTCTGCTTGAGGTCAGGATCGTTCGTCACGACCACCGCACCAGACTCAAGGTCTAGACTGTAGCTGCGCTTTGTGTAGTTACTGCTACCAACGAAGGTGAGGCTGGGGTGCTCCTCGCGCGGCAGGGTAATCCACAGACCCTTGGCATGGTAGGTCCATCCGCCTGGCGTACCAACAGTCCCCTTACGCCACTCCTTCAGTTGAATAGATTCCGTGGCGTGTGCGTCGGCGACACGATCAAGGAAGCGGGCAGAGAGATGCGTGTATGCGGCTGGTAGCATCCCCGAGATTCCAGAGGAGCCAAAGAATCCATTTGCCCATGGTGAGGCCGTCAGAACGGTACCTTTCGTGGTGGTAGGAGTCCCTGAGGCGGTGGTTGTACTGGAAATTAGGAGAGAGGAAAAGACAGGGTGCATGTTGAAGTAACCTGCTGTGAAGAGCCAACGGGCACCGGCAAAGACCGATGAGCTTGACAAGAGATGGAGAATGGTTGTCACAGCAGGGTATTCGGTAGATGTGTCATTAGGTTGCATGAGAGAAGTAAACTGCGACACAGGATAGACATAGGTTTGACTTGATGAGGATGGAAGTGCAGGTTTGTTGTTAGAAGCCTGAATGATCGGGCTCAGGAACGTCGAAGAATATGCGATAAACTTTTGAGGATCTTCAAGAGGCGAAGGGGCTTTATTTGTGGAAGGCCAGTTCAAAATATAGCTGGATTTGTTTTGGGGGTCCGGCAGAACCTGGAAGCTTAGACTGCAGATTGCATGGTGAATTCCAGCGTAATATTCGGTCAGTACCTTGGAGTCGAACACATGGTATCGGTCTAGGCGGCTGGTGAAGTATTCCTCGGATAGGTTTGCTCTGCGAATATGTTAATATCCCATATTTGTACCAGTCCGCAGATAACATACCCCGATAGAATAATCTCGTCGTCTATCCCGTACAGCTTCATATGCTGCAAGCCCCAGCCCTCGTTGATGCGCGCAGGGATCCACTTCTTTCTTAGACCCGTCAAATTGGGAGTATGGAACATCCGAATCTCAACTCGTTCAGGTCCGAACTCTTCAACCAACGAACAAAGGAGCGATGCGCATGAAGGATTCGGCGTCTCTCGTGTACCGCGCAGAGCATCCGTGAGAATGGAGACTTTGAGATCCGGGTTATCGCGGAGAGCCTGGCTCAAGGTGTCGACAAGGTCGTGTTCTGTCTTGCCGATGTACAATGTAGAGAGGTAAATGCGCCGCCGGGCATTGCGGATTTTATTCTGCGGAACTGGGAGTTAATTCCAAACTATTTGGAGAAGACCAACAGGACAGAGCACACCTTCAATGTAGAGTAGAAATTGGCCGGAGAGTCAATAATATGAATCTGAGACGCAGGCACCTCGAATCGGGGAGCAATGCGGTCTAGCTCCGCGGTGATTCCTGCTAGAGGTGAAGGAGCGGATGCTGCAGTCGTAGCTCCTGTACCTGTGTGCGCAGAAAATTGGCGAGCACACAGTCTCCGACGCGCGACTGGGCGACGCCCAGCGCAACGAAGCGTTTGCCCTCTAATGCGACCGAACATGTTTGAATATCCGAGGTCGAGGGTTTTCTGAATCGGGATATCCATGGTAGAGCAGAGTGCAAACAATGCAAACACACCGCCCTCCTGCAACCTCAAATCGCCAATCTCTCGCATCCCATTCGCTCTAGCACAATATACCAGCAAAGATGTCGACTATTGTGAGGACGCTGCGCAACCTTCGCCGGGTCGGCTTCAAGGTTCGTATAACTGCGATCTATTATCTATACAAACTCAGGTGCTAATACGCTTGTACAGGATGCCGCCCACCAGATGCAGGTACGGTTACGGATGCCTCTCCCGGAACAGCAGGTCAATTGAATGAGCTTGAGACTAACCTAAGTCCCTATTCGCTGTGATATAGAACATTGGTACAGTGCCCACTCCATCGATGTCTGCCCAGCAGTTGACTAACAATACACTCTCTTACAGGTGATACCAAGGCCGGAACTCTGATCGGAACCGACCGCTTCGGCAACAAATACTTCGAGAACCTGGAGGAATTGCCTCGTAAGAAGACTCTTCAGCTCATATTATCGCATTGAGACATGAAGTTCTAACCATACCTCCCCGTTTAGTCCGAACACGATGGGTCGACTACAAGGAGGCCGAATACGACGCATCCCACATTGAGCCTGGCTGGTAAGAGCTTCTCTCGAAACATTGGGCTGACAATGCACCTGAGATGACGTGGAACTAACTTTATTTAAGGCACGCCTGGATCTCCTACCTCGTTGACGGGCCCCCAACCGCCGACAAGGTCATGCAGTCCGGTTTCCGTCCCTGGGAGCTGTCTGACCACCGCGCCAACCCAACTCTGAGCCGCGCTGCATTCAAGACTTACTCCACGTACGTGCAATGTTTCTGCGTGCGACATTTCACTCTTTCCCATGTATCGACTAACGTTACTCTAGCACCCGGCCCAAGATCACTGCCTGGACTCCCACCGCCGCTCCGCGGTAGATTTATTTGCAGTAGCAGAATCAATCCACTTGTCTTGCTGTTTAAATGATCCCGTTCTCCCTTTTCAGCCCATTGGCAACTTATTTGCCGATTTGGGAAATGTATATAAAGTCGTTTTGCCAGTAGTGCTTATTTTTTTACGAAGAAAGTCCGTTTTCAAGATTGCGCTTCAATGAGAATTGTAGTGATAGCCTTCATCGTATAAAAAAGGTATCTCATTGAAAAAAAAAATCCGTTGCTAGAGGGCGGCAAATGAAGTAGATACAAGAGGATACATGATTTCTTTTGCCTTAATTACAGGACATAGACACCAGAGCCGATATTAGACCAGTGCCGGATTGGCCGTCGATCCTCCAGTTCAATGCACCACCAAAGCACTTCTTTCAGCCTCTCGACTTGCTCGCCAGCCTCATACGCTCTCGACAAAGCATACCATGCCTCTGAGTTGTCCCAGGAGCTCCCGAGTTTTGTCAACGCTGAAAGAAGCCCATAGGCGCGATCTCGGGCCGCGAGACGGTGCAGTTGCTTTGGCTCGACATCTTGTGCAGATAGAGGGCCATCTTCGGGGCCCGCATTTTCGGCCTTGTTTGATACCTTGAGATCGTCGGTTGAGATAGCCTTTGCGGACTGGGGGTTGGGGGTCTCTGATAGTAATGACAGACGGGAGACGTTAAGATCCACGTCGGCATTCAATGGCTCTGGGGTCAATTTCTGATCCCAAATGTCCAAGAGAAGATTGGCGAGTCCAATGGTCGCCGTTGGGTGATCTTGGTAGCGCAGCAGCGCTTCCTCGAAGTGCCTGATGGCCTGGTGGGGGTTCGACCGAGCCTGGGACAAGAGACCCTGTTCCGCGTAGACATCAGCCCAGAGCTCCTCGGAGCTCTTTGAAGCACCCCAGCCACGCTTGCTAAAAGAACGAGCCGAGGATTCCTGTGATGCAACAAGTGCTTCTACTCGCGCGGCTTGTTTCGAAGCTTCTTCGCAAGCTTCACGGGCATCGTCGAATAGAGACGCTCGGCGATAAAGACCAGCTATAACAAGCCATATCTTAACAAGAAGACCTAAGGCGTGCTTCTGTGATTGAACTAGAGAGAACTTCGTGACGGCGCTTGTGGGAGAGTCGAAACGTTGACCGATTGGGAGCCGGATATCCTGCTTAGGGGGTTGTTCCTCATGGCCGGCAGGGGGGGCTTGTTCTTTATAATTCATGTTGTGTGCCATGGCCGGCAACGGCTGTTTGCCTTTGTTAGGGAGGATGGCGGACTCTGGTGATTTGTTGCCAGAAAATGCAACGCCGACCATTTCTGCGGATGTTTCACCCCCATTAGGAAGCGGGGGCTCTTCAACACGCGGCCTCTCGTTTTTATGGAAGCTTGGACTTCGCTTTTTCAGTTTCTTGGAGTCTGCCCTCCCGATCGTGGGCGGTCTTCCCTGGCGGCCGTGGGGGTCTTCGTCCGTGACTTGGATTGACGGAGCATCTGGCAGATGACCATTGGGAATAGCCGGGGTGGGTGGGATGATGGCATCAGAACCATTACTCTGATCAGCACGGCGATCTGGTAATTGTGTCGTTCTGTTTCGGGCGAAAATACTTCCACGGAAGCTCTTGATAGTTCCGGCAGAGCTCTTCGGTGGTACTAGGTTGTCTGCCTTGGATTTGGTCTGCCCAGACTCGAGGTTCAAATCATGGAAAAGAGTGCCAAAAAGACTCAGTAATTGTGTGCTGTGATTGACAGCAGCTTCGGGCCCTTCGAGGAGCTCGATGAACGCAAGCTGTGTAATGCGCGTTTGGACGATGCGTTCTTTTTCTCTACTTTGCAGTCTGCTGACAAGCGGGCGCTGGCTGAGGTTTTGCGAATGCCTCGGTGAGCGCCGTTCCCGATGACTCTTCGAGAATAATTCTCGGGGAAACTGCTCGAATGCAGCCTCACATGAACGTCCGGCAATCTCAAACTCTTGCTTTGCACTCAGCAGCAGCGCAAGCAGATGCCACAGAGATACCAAGTCACGTTCTTTGGAAAGATCATCAGATACCGCAGTAGACGAACTGCTTGGCGTCAGAGCTGATTTGACATAGTCAATTGCAGTGTCCAAATCTCTGTTCTCGGCCAAGACGAGGCCCAAGGTGTAAAGGGAGGAGTAGCTTGAGCTACTTCCCAATTCTGGAGCAAGACTCTTTTCGAGGTATTCAATCGCATCAGCTCTGATTTCATCGCGCGATTCATTCACCGGAGTCCAGCTTGCCCAGCACGCAAGTCCAACGCCGACAGCTCGGTAGGAGGAGGCCAGAACGGAGGGAGGGATGTTTGGCAAGTTAGTAGAATTGCCGTTGACCTGACCGTTTGTGAGAGGCGTATTGTGCTTGTCGATATACTCTCGTATCATTTCAGTAAGATCCCGGGCCTTCTCTGCCTCTTCCAACGAGCCAACACAGCTCAACAATGTAACTCCTTCGGAGAGCGTCTGCAGCAACACTTCATCCTTTTCCAGCTCCCCGGACTCGGCAGACTTCTCTGCCCTTTCTTTGGCTGCAGTGACAATCTCAATATAGGAATCGAGCGCTTTCACGGCGAGGTCAAAGTCTGCTAAAGCAGAATGAACATGGAAGAGACGTCGGAGTACCAAGTGAGAATGGTAGGTCTTTGTCGCTGCCCGGTATAGAATCTAGGATAACCCGCATTAGTAAATGTGATTTGATGGGACCTGTTATTGGACTCACCTCTAAAACACCCCGACCAACCGCATCCTGGCCTCCTTCGCCGACGTCCGAATCCTGCCACTCAGGGCCACACAAGACTTGCCAGTTCCTGATCACCTGCTCCACCCATTCCTCGACTTGAGAGTTCTGCGAGCTGGCTGTAGGAAACATGACTTCAGAGAGAAGATTGCGTTCGTAGATAGTTTCTACGCGGCGCAATTCACTGCAGAGTTGCGGGCGGTCCGGTCCATCATTGGAGCCTGTGTATGTAAGCCCGTTCTGTAGGACTGCCGTGAGAAACCTGTAATAAGCAGCCCATACTGGTGCTCGCGGAGCCAGACTGAAGGAATCTACACTCGATGAGTTGCTAGCAGAGCCCCCCTGTTTCACAGCAGGATGAGCCGCCCACAGCCTGAGCAATTGAAGGGCAATATCTGCATGCCTAGGATCCGAATAGGTTGTGTGTTTGGTCACTTCAATGCTGGCCAAAAGAGCACCATTGCCCAGAAGTGACTCGGACCATTTCAGGAATTGCGGGGTTGTGATTGAGGCTAATTTACCGCCGCTTAGCCACGGAGTTAGAGATGCAAATGTCTCCAGTGTCTCATTAATGTCTCCAGCGGTAGATTGTGCGGTTGCTGTCTTGCTGTCAGATCCAGAACTAGCTACATCCGGAAGTAAACAAATAAACATACCCTTGATGTAGCACCCCTTCACTAAACAGACTTCGGTCCACGAAGTAGGCTGCTCTCCTCCACTGGCCAAGCTATCAAGTGTTGCCGCGAAATCCTTAGGGAGACGCGCTGCCGAAAGTCCAGGTTCATTCAAAGCCCAATGTATCCACCCCAAACAGACCTGCGCCTGCAACAATTCTTGAGGTGATCCGTCATTGTTATCAATTGTCATCAACAGTGCTGGGATTAACTCGGCGAGGTTTGGGGGGGAGAAGATGGGTCGTCGGAGGACTTTTGTTGAAGATACGCAATCACACGCAATTCCGCTGTTGCGGTCTGTATTAAGCCTAGAAACAACTGGGTTAGGCTGAGATCGAGAAACTAAGGGCCGGTGGCGTACAAGTCCTTTGTGGTGCGTGTTTTGTGACCTTTCGAATCAATTCGGGGAGCTCATCCCATTTGCCCTGACTCCGCGCCTGGTCCAAGGCCGCGATGTAGGCCTGCCCCTTCTCGGCATTGCCTCCCTGGTTCGCACGTGTCAACATAAATACTGGGTGGTATCAATGATTTAGAAGAGATATAAACTAGCACATGTTGAAGGAGGTACAAGGCGGACACTTACAGCCATGATTCAGGAGAGTTGTGAGAGTAAGAAGGGAAGAGCAATCAATCAAGCTTCATCAGCATCCCGAGGTGTCAGGCTGAAGCCCGATGATCGTCTAGGGGTGGAGAGCCATTACATACGTGACAGTAATTTAACACTGACCGTTGTTGGTCCGAGCTTTTTGATGAAAAAAAAAGTTATCGATAAGACTCTCACCTGTTGTCCGCACTCATTTTTCTATCAATTGGACGGATTTTCGAGTCGAGACCTATTATTATAGGTCTGTTCCAATCGCTATGTCCTCCACTACTTTGCGTGCCGTCACGCATCGCCTGATAACCACTCCGGTCGAGCAACTACCCTCGATAGCTTCGTTCCTTGCGACTTCATTGAACGATTGCGCTGAGCTGCTCTCTACCCCTCAAACCCAGAAATCTGGCAAATCGGACTCCGATAATGCTGTCCAGATCCATAAATTGAAGACTAGATTGGCGAGTCTGTTGCAGGATCGCAGTGTTGAGGGAAGATGGACCGCCGTTGTTCTGGTGAAAGCTACAGTTGAAGCCGGTCAATGGGAAATCCTGCGCGGCTATGAGCCTATTGTTCGCAGTTTGATCAGCATTCTCGCAGTATGAACTAATTTAACCCTCGTTGTCTATGCTGGCTCCATTGACTTATGCTTTTCTAGAAACCCGATCCAATCTCCACGAGAAAAATGTGTATTATCACACTAACTCGCATTTTCCACCTCACATACCAGTACCCAACCCTTGTCCGTGAGATCACAACCCCGCACCTTCCGGGGTTCATTACCGCCGCCTTAAACTTGGTCTCTACTATCACGAAGACGCCCTCGGGCTCAATCCGACAGCCGAAGCCCAACACTCCATTCATGGAAATTGTGCTGCACGCCTTGCTGGAATTGATCCCAAGACATATCACCATCTTCCGTCCGTTTGGTGCCCAGCTCCGAACTCTTCTCGCCGAAGTAATTGGCTCTTCTTCGCCTGCGTATTTCCCGGGGCATGTGATCGATGCGGCAGAGCAGCTGCTTGTTTCTCTCCACAAGTGTGCACCCAAGGACCAGGCGGGTTCTGGATGGAAAGATGATTGCAAGTCCACGATTTTGTCCATCCACCGAACCACAGACCACGTTTTCCGGGCCGTTGTAGAGCAGTGGGAGTCTGTTGATGCGGCTCTGGTGCACACACGGCCAAACTATAGCCAAGAAATGGGTGACGGGGGCGCGGATGGTCTTGGACTTCCAGGCTGGAGCGGATTGCACTCGGGTGTGGATAGATTGGTTGCACTTCTGCAGATTCTCTCTGATTTCATCTCGATGCCATCCGCAGCTGCAGTTGCCCTTCCCGTGGGCTCTATCCTCGATCTGACCTCCCGACTTACTTCTGTCACTGTTCCACCCAATGGCGCCGCATCTTCTCAATCTGGCATTCAGTTCAACCAGGAAATTAGCCGTGACGAGCGAGAGGCACTTTGGATGGAGCTGCCTCGCATTCACATTGCATGCATGGGCTTGCTTTCCAACGTTGTCGGTATCTTGGCGACCAGCGCAACCTCAGTAACGCAGACTATCCTAGAGCAGGCCCTCTGGACTTTCAAGGGCGAAAGCTTCAATAGAGACCTGCGCTCGGCAGTCTATGGTTTGCTTCGTTCTCTGGTACCGGTGAACGGGCCTGCGATGACGAAACAGAGCGTGGTGTCTTTGACCAATGTCCTACGCTCTTGCTGCAATGATCTATTGCCGCCGACTGGGGATTCCAGCTCTATGGGCAATTCTGGCTCTGACTCTAAAGCAAAGTCAAAGGGCGGACAAGGGACAGCCAATGCGGACGCCTTTTTGAACCCTGATCTTCAGAAATCCCGCCAGGCACAGGCGGTCTCTCCGTTTTTGGATGTCCAGCAAAATGCATCCGGACTTTTGCGGGCCGTTTTCCTTTCTATCCCCGCTGAGCTTGTTCCGCCCTCCATCAGGACTGAAATGGATCGCTCCATTATTTTGACATCCGACAAGGATGCGATGTTTGCTAGCGTGCTCAACCCTGTTCCGGCAGTCAAGGGCCGTGGAGCAGGCTCGAGCATCATCCCATTCTTGACTAGACCTTACGCTGATCAGATGGAGGTGGAGGCTCTAGTCCGTCCCAGGATGCCAGTCCTGATGACCGCGCCCGAGCTTGACGCCTATATCGATGAAGACGAAGAGGCAGAAGATGAGGACATGGCCGATGATTCATACAAAGCCGCCCCAAAGACCGCCGAATTTCTGAAGCAACCCGTGTCGGCGCCCCTGCAAGTACCGAAGGCAGACCCTCCGAAGGCCGCAACTCCGGTGCCTACTTTCCACAAGCGGACCTACACTGAGGAACCCACAGCTGAGGAGCCAGCACCCCAGAAGCAGGATGTTCAGACCAAGAAGGCACGATTCGACGAAATTATTCCAACCACCACGAGCCAACAGCCTTTCTCTCAGCCAGCTCCTGCAATCACCAAGACTGAGGCCCCGAAGCTTTCAACCCAGGTGTCCACCACATCTACGATCTTGACCTCGCAAGCTCCCGAGGAGGCTGCCGATGATAGTGATGATGAATTGCCTACTTTGAATATGGATTCTGACACCGATGAAGAGGATGACGATGTCACAATGGAAGGCTAGACGATGTAATTATAGGTCTTATACATAGTCTATCATGTAATTTAGTTCATGCACATGCAATGACTCCAAGAATCTTGAAAGTAACAACGTGAAATTCCGGATCTATTAACTCTACAACACCCGTATGCCACTCCCCCAGTATGTACCGTCACTCCAGTACCGGAACCAGGGCTGATTCCAGCACCACCAACCTTGGCCCTGTAGCCCAAATCCCAATGCGCGAAGTGGACTAATTGGAACGGGTTCCATCAACCATAGGCCACCCTTCGCAAAGTCATCCGCGACGAGGCCACCCGAGGCCATCAACCAACAGAATACAAACACAAAATTCGCCGTTCGTCTCAGCCATCTCGGAGTACCAGCCAAAGGTGATTTTGGAAGGATCGACGTCTTGAAAACCTGCTCTGCCATGATTGCAACACCCTGCAAAGCGAAAAACAGGAATGTCCCGGACACGGGGGATGTATCTGCAATCTGGGTATGGCTTCCACAGGCATGCACAAAGCCGCTGAGACAAAATGCCACCATCACATAAGTGACACGACGGACTTGCAGATGGGAACCTAAGCCGGCTGGAAGTATGGATAAGACCCAGCGTGCTGAAGCTACAAATCCGTAGCGGAAAATTTGGTGCCACCAACGACCCCAGCAGCCCGCCAATCCTTCATCAAGGACCGGGATGAAGAAAGGCCCGAATGAATCGGAATATAGCCACGGAGCACCCAACGGTGCCGCGGTCAGCTTCTTAGCCCCGTTGGGAAATGCGAGAGATAGCCCCAGGAAGAAGATTGGGTTCAGTGAGGTCACAAACTCGAGAGCAAAATACACGCTTATGGCGCTGTATAAACGTTGACAAAGCTGGGCCATGACAGGATGCAATGTGAGATTTGTGAAGTAGAAGAAAGGAAATGGAGCCAGTGAATCGGCTGAGCTGAGGCCTCGGAAGTAGGGATCTGGCATCAGGATTATGACTTTCAAGATGTCAAGCACAAGGTAAGATATGAAAAACTTCCGAAAGGCAGCTTGTAGGCGGTGTTTGCCGCTGGGATATGTGGAGGGTTCATGGGCGTTGATTCTATCCATGAATCCTGAATGCAATTGGTCGTGAATTGGTCGTGGAAGAGGACCCAGATGGGAAGCTCGCCAGTTCCATTCTGGTCCCCTCAGGTTGAAGAGTAGTCCAGCAGACCATTCAAGGCGATGCCAGAATCTTTCGGGATATGACCGCCAAATAAAAAGGTTGCTATCCCGCTGCGTGCATGTTGGATTGCTCAAGTCGGGCGACTTTGTGACAGTACTAGGTTCAATATTTGCGTCGTTTTGAGACTTCATATCGACAGGTTTTCGTTCAATACGCTTGAAATCATGTTCAAGATCTGTAAACACAAACAACGTAGTATTCCATATTAGCCACCACGCGGTAATTAGGCCAAGCATATAGCCATTTCCGCCGATGATTGCCCGTCGGTTTTGTAAGATTTCAATTGCAATCGCAATACAGAGAACGAAAAGGCCCTTTCGAACATATTGACCGCCCCTGCGACGAGGAATGACCAGACCTATCAAAGGTAAAATGTGAAGGATGACAACATGATATAGGAAAATCGGCTTGAAGATCCCCTGTTCCAGTAGCGTATCCAATTGCTTCTCATAGTTCTTGGCTAGATCCATGTAGGAGCCATAGCGGGGATCGGCCATGTGGGACACGGGGGCGCCACCGTAATGCCTCAGTAGTACGGACAGTAGTACGGAGTACTTGGTGATGCGCTAAAAATCACCGACTCGATACTTGAGGAATCCAGGGGTTTTATAGGCAAATACCCTTGAGCAATCTTCGGTGATGAGCTGAATATTTGATCGAATTTACGTCGGACAATATATAGCATGAACATATAGGTGACGTTTTGTCACCAAAAAAGATATATATCATCACGTGCCTGAAAGCAAGGACGGTTGATGCCTCAGGCCACAATCCAACCGCGTTCTCTTTATTACAACCACCATGGACACGACTATCTTTGCAAAAGAGAAAATATTAGAGAATCAATGCAAGATCCAAGATTAACACGTCAGACAGATAACGAGGTTGACTTTGGATAGCGTCGTCACTATCTATCTTTAGGGCTGTTGATCTATCTTTGTCGTTGAAACCGTTGGGAGGAGCTCCTTCATCGATGAACCCACCCTACCCACTTTTTTTATTCCATGGAATATACTCCGTCCACGGGTACTATGCGTGGCAATCGAGGACCTGCAGCCTGATAGTCAGGGACGGCAACGGGGAGTATTCCAAGCCTGCGGGGTAATATTGGGGTCCCACAATATTCAATATCTTCTTCCATGTCGTCTTCAATGTCCTTGTCGGATCAGTATATTTCCACTTCTCACATTCGCAAAAATGGCATTTAACGACATTCGGGGTAAATTGGCCGTAATCACCGGCGCATCGGGAGGGTAAGCATGATGCCGACGATTTGTACAAGGACATGAGGCTAATTATTCGACCTTAGAATTGGTGCAGCTTGCGCACACCAACTTGCACAACATGGAGTTCATCTCGCCTTGACCTACTCGACCAATTTAACATCCTTGAACAACATTGTCGCAGATATACACTCCAAGAATCCTACACAGAAGCTTCGCATTTCAATCCACCAAGTTGATGTTGGGTCTAGCGATCAAATCCAGGCTATGTTTCAACAAATTGATGTTGAGCACGGCCAACGACCAGACATTCTTATATCAAACGCCGGATATGGCAAGCGAATCCCCGACGTGTCGGATATCTCCCTCGAGGAGTTTGATTACACTATGAACATCAACCTCCGCGCTGCCTTCATTCTTGTGAAAGGTGTGGTAGAGCACATGAAGGCTCAGAAGTGGGGGCGGATCATCTTCATGTCCTCCATCGCCGCTCAAGGTGGAGGGATTAACGGCTGTCGTAAGTCAATCTACTATCCTCGATCCATTAGCCTTTCATTCCTTGGAGGCAATTGCTGATTCAATTCCCCGTTCTAGACTATGCAGCCTCCAAGGGCGGTCTTACCGGCATGATGAAGAACCTATCAACACGACTGGCAGAGTACAACATTAGTGTCAACGACGTGGCCCCGGCTATGATCGGCGATACAGGCATGCTTTCCTCTGCCGCGGCATTCCCCGAAGTGGTGGCGAGTATTCCTCTGAAGCGGCTAGGAACTCCAGAAGAAACAGCGAACGTTGTTACTATGCTAGTGAAGACTGGGTACATGACAGGCCAAAGTCTCCTCCTAGCTGGAGGGTTGAAATAGGTTCTAGAATTAGGGACAATTTTATTTATACATTTTTCAACCTACACATCGCTGCTTCTTTCTGTGCGCCGCGAATAATAATAATAATAATAATATATATATATATATATAAGATTTATGCAGTCCTTTTGCGGTGGTCGATAATCCCGGAGATTGAAGATTTTGTTTCACAAAAGCAAGAATTGTCGACCGTTTATGCGGCCCTGTCATGTCTTTTTGGTGGTCTTTTAGATGGTCGTTTATATGATCGTTTTTGGTAGTCTTGTTTAGTGTTCCTTTTTAGTGTTCTTTTTTAGATGTATACGAAACTGGGATGTATAATCTTTGAAATGTGAGTACCTGGGATGTACATGCCCTCCTGCGGGATCAGGCGCCTTCCCTTTTGGGTATAAATACCCTTTCCCCTCTTCTTCTTTCTTCCTTCTCCTATCCCACTCCTAGGACCTATTGCACATGTGAGGGGTGGGGTCATTACGGAAGATTTCTCGGATGCAGGATGAAGCATGTGCTCACGGCGAAAGGGAACATGAAAGATTCCTACGACTACAAGCGGCAAGAACAGACGATCCACCAAATTTGCGGGACTGTCAAAGCGAGCAGGATGAAAGAAGGAACGAAAAGGGGAAGGGTAGTGTAAGGGATGGGAGTGGGGGTGAATCAGAAGATGTCTAATAAGAGTTCTTTGGGGGAAGAGGGTGAATCGGATGGAGTTAGATTAGAGGACACTTCCATGGGAGATGACGAGGCTAGCGAGGAGTCAGATGTTGGGCCGTCGCTGTAATCCCGTCGCTCGGTTCCACTTAATGATGATCGCCAAGAGAAGGTGGAGATGGGAATAACGGGTGGAACACGACAGGAAGGTTCCCCAGGCAGTTCAACTGAGCTGCCTGACAGAGACTATCCTCCTGAATCACCACAGCGTACCAAATCCCGTCGAACCACTAGGCAACGTGGGGGTTCGATTACAGCTGAGGCAGCTGGAAAACGACATAGGACCACCGGGGAGCATCGCGAGCCCTAGTCAAAGGATCAGGCTGGAATTACGCCAGAAAGTCAAGACCATAAAAAGCAAATGGGTTCGACCAGAAAAAGCAGAAGGGCCGCTATCGAAGATGTACTCTAACCCCGAGAAGAAGTCCCGATGTAGAAGGATAGGGCCCAGAGAAATCCACCAGCAAAGAATACAACAGAATTTCGTGATGACGATAATGGAGTACGTGCAAGCCCAGCTCTCGCACACCGTTCAAAGTACCTCCCAGATCCAGATGAGGGCCCCAAAATATAGGCGAGAATTTACAAACTCGATTTCTATACTAAATTCCCAATAGAACTAGGATGACTAGGACGATCTAGGAGTTTAGGAATTCATTGCAGCCGTGGTATTCATCACGAACCAAAGTCACGCCGCTCGGATGTCCTCTTAAAATCAACGGTCTTGTCTCTCCACAACTATATACTTCAAATTTTGAGGTTCACTGTCCCTGGGTTCCACTATACGCAGTGGAACTTTGCCCGCTTCTACGAGTAGTTAAATCAATAATTAAAACAAACCACTACCATGAATGGTAATGGGTCGGATTTCAAATCCTAAAAGATATATCTATCATGGCGCTTTGAAAGGTATGGCAATCGATGGATTTGACTGCCTTCCACGGTGTGATCATCTAGGTAGCGACAGGATTCCCTATAGGAGAGATTGTGAGGCCGCCGGGTTATTCAGGCTCAGAGTTTCTAGCTTGGGGCGATATGACTATCTACCTATGTGGAGGGAAGAACCAAACTATGGACGACATTGAGTGTATTATCAACGTGCGCTACAACAAAGGGACCAAGGAAACTCCAACGAACTTCCCATTGAAGAGGATTGGTACGCTACCTCGGCCTGAATGGAACCTACTTTGCGTTGTCAAACTTATCATTATTGCCGCGTTTCGATACATAGGGGTCAAAAGTTTCTTGGTACTTTTTTAAAACATCTGATGAATATCTAAATCCTCCTACTCCACCACTATATGCTCATTTGGTACTAAAATAAGCAGTAACCGAAGAAGGAAATATATGTATGCACGTAGAATGTATAAATAAAACAAGTATCAAATTGAAACGCTACATATATCTAGATTTGCATACAATCTGTTGGCATAAATCATCCAGAAAAACAAGGGGTAATTAAGTCAAAACAACAAACACTTCCAATCATTGCCTGCATTATACCTTCAAACTGGCAGGACCACCTTGACACCCATGTACTCTCGTTGGTGCATAATCTTGCCATCAATGAGAACCTGGTCAGCACCAACTCTGTTGCGCTCTTGATCGGTGGGATCCGTAGCAGTAGCGATCTGGATTTCGCGCCATTGACGGTTGGTAGGCACAAGCTTTCCTTGGGATGTGAGACTCTTGAACTCCTTGTAGACACCCTGTTCCTCAACGCAGCCCACTCGCTGAATAAGAGGAGATTCTATAAAAGACGTCATTAGCGCGGTTCTTGTGATTAACCAATGTGCATGATCTCAATCCACTAACCTGTTGCGGGACCCATGCGCAAATCACCAACAGAACTGTTGAAGAGAACCAGAGAGAGACGCTCCTCCTTCAACTGATCGACAGGAGGCTTGTAAACACGGTGACGAGTAGCCTTGAAATGGCCACCAGAAACAATCTCCAGGGTATCACCGATGTTAATAACAAGCGCGCCGGGCTTGTAGGGTACGTAGTACCACTTTTCATCACGGCCCCAGATCTGGAGACACGAGATGGGGACAGAGAAGAGCAATGTTGTCAGACCGAAGTCAGTGTGTCCGTGCATGCGCAAACCCTTGGATGCCTCTTCGGTCTTCTTCTGGACGGGGCGGAAAAGCGCATGGCGGAAGTAACCCTCACCAGTTGGGCAACCGTGTGACTGGACGTTATCCCAGAGATAGTCATCGGGCAACTCGAGGACGCGAGAGAAGAGGGTAAGGAGGCGACGGTTGACGGACTTGGTCAGATAGTTGGCGAACTCTTCGATTTCGTCCATAAAGGGGTGTAGGCATTTAGGCACACGGTTGATGTCGTTCCAGTCGGGCTTGTACCAGTTGAATTGCTCAATGCCATCTTCGGGCCCACGTTCGCGCTAATCACAGAAAGGAAGAGTAAGTAGAGGGTTGGTTGATGTATGAGGGAGATCCTCTTACCTTAAATCCGTAAGGGTGCTTGTAACCAGACCAAACACCAGTTTCAGGATCGAACAAAAGGCGCTGCTTGTCCTCTTCGCTAATGTTGTTGTATAGATACTGTGCGAGAGAGAACTGACGGTGGAGCTATTGGAAAAGATACGTTGTTAGCGACGCTGGGTTTGGAATGTGGCTTGATAACCAAGGCTTACCTGCTCGAGGGAAACTCCGTAGTTTTCGAGGAAAAGGAATCCATCATCACGAATGGCGCCCTTAACCTGTTGGACAAGTTTGTCAACAACAGCAGGGTCATCCGAGTCCAACAAAGAAAGATCAATGGAGCTAAGCTCGGCAAAGTTCTCCTTCTGCTGAGTGACCGGTGGGGGAACCCATGTCGGGACAAAAGGCTTGCCAGGCAGGTCAGCTGCAGGAGGATTGAAGGGGGCAGAAATTGGCATGGTGATGTATATGCAAAGAATGTTCAGTTCTGTGATTGATGCTGAAGACAATACAAGGAAGATTATCTGATCGAGTTCTATATCTTTATATACCAATCCAATGATGAGACATGAACCCTATCGGTATATCCGATATCCGGGGAGGGAAGTATGGCATGCTTCGTTCCGTAAGATTAGACGCGATGAGAGCAGGAGGATTATCGACGACTGCTAGTGCGCCACTAAGATTTTGGCGTGATAATCGTGATGTTGGATGCTCCCTGTTACACTTCCCCACATTTTCCCGATGGTTCAGCTCACCTCTCATGTTTTGTTATCATAAACGGGGCCTCGGGGGGCTCCTCTGCCTTAGTCGTATCTATGGACGTTGAACCTAAGCATAAACGATAAGGTTGGCGCTAGACCCGGATTGGAAGAGTACCTTACGGCCGGGCATTGCCGGGGAGGAGTGCCCAGGTGGAGATATATACAGGTCATGATTGCGGCCACATGATCAATTCTGATTGCAACGCATGACTTTACACACTGATAAGCCTTTTGCGAGAAATGGCCGCAATAATGAATCTAACACAATGTGCTCCTCCCATTTCACTCCTCCCACTCCTCCCTCCCACTCCGCCCGCCATATTCCCTGGAAGAGTGATACCAAATAAACTAATACCAAAAAGAAACTGCTCCTCCATTGCGATAGTGAGAATTGCCCCGCCTCTTGATTGGCAAGATGCCTCCTCGGATAGAGAGGTATGAGGGGTAGCTTGAGCAATTTAAACAAGCTCAATTTCTAGTACTTCTGAATTTCAAACTTCTTGACACACTCTTGAAACTACACTATCACAAACTCCCAACACTCTTCAAAATCACCAATCAAGATGTCTCGTCAACTCATCTCCAGCGAGAAGTTCCCTACCAAGCCTCACAACTGTGAGTATCTGCATGCAAAACACCTTGCATTCTCTTGAAGAATGAACAAGAAAGAAAAGAAAGTTACTAACCAAGTTATTCAGGCCCTGCCGTCAAGGTCCCCGGGCTCGTCTTTTGCGCAGGCCAGACTGCCACAGGAGAGATTAAGCAGGCTACTGTAAGTTCAATTGCACAAACAGTCATCGGATAATAAGGCATTGGCTGACTCTTTGTTACTATTACACAGAGAACCGTTCTGCAGAACCTGAAGGAGGTCCTCGAGCTTTCCGGATCTTCCCTTGAGCAGGTTGTCAAGTACAATGTCTACCTCGCCGATATGAAGGATTTCGCCGCTATGAACGAAGCCTACATCGATTTCCTCCCACAGCCCATGCCTTCGCGCTCATGTCTTCAAGCGGTTGCACCCGGAAATGGCACCGTCATTGAGATCGAGTGTATTGCGCAAGCTTAAATTATGATATTATGAAAATGGCTAGAATATAGACGAAAATTAAAATGTTTTAAATACAGTATCAAGTTGCCATATTATGTAGAGTAGAGTAAGCAATGTACTACATAATTGTTAACTGGTATTTAAACGAAGTAGCTAGGTATTACCAATATGGCCTTGATTAAGCGCATGTGTACTAGTAAAGCTGAAACACTTCCGTATCATGTGTATGTGTTCTTTAAGCAACGAATAACTAGTTATGTACAAATTAATAATTTGCTTTTTCTTTTCCTCAATTTTTGGCTAACCCGATTAGGCAGGAAGGGAATATGTTGAAGATGAAAAGGACTAGTAGACTTTAATTTCCTATGTCTCAGCCAAGCTAGATCGGAGATTCTCCGAACTCGATTTTAGATTTAATTGATGTAGAGAGGAGTACGGGCGATTATGCAAGTATGTCACCCGTTCATAAATCTCTCATTGGATATTACCTCACCGAGTCTTTCATCGCCGGAGACATACACAACAAGAATCGTTAGGTTCTTTTTAGATATCTTTTGGCTGTCTTTTTAGATATACACGAGGGCGGTAAAAAAAAGGGCCTATTCTATATGAGAGACTTTTCTACATATAACCTTTGACTATAAAATTAGTTTCCGATCCCTGGCCGGGATATACCTTCGCATACTTGTAAAGTAGGAGTGGATCTAAATCAATGCCTGGCAATATGAATCAATGAGCGTGTTATGAACCTAGTGGCATACTTAGTTGCCCATAGAGGTAAAGAAGTATAGAAACTTAGTTTATCTATTTAAAATTTTATATACAAAACTCTATCATAATATGCCATAAAATCATCTGCCCTCTCATGAACGAGCAATATCAAACTCTGCCATGTACCAGTTCTGAATCGCCTTGGTGTCACCAGTGATGGCGACGGTATCATACTTCTCCCGAGCCTCCTTAGCCGCAGTACCATTGTTGACCATGCGGCCAGCCCACTTTCCGTGTTTGCGGGCAGCAGCAATGATCTTATCAATAGCAGCAACAAACTCAGGCTCATCGCCGCGAGCAGGTGTGTATCCAAGCAGGGACTGAGCAAGATCGTTGGGACCAATGAAGACAAGGTCCACACCGGGCACAGCGCAGATAGCATCGACGTTTTCGACACCGGCGCGGGTCTCTATTTGAATCATGGTGATGATGGTCTCGTTGGCGGACTTCATGTATTCAGGAGTTGTGAGGCCGTGGCCGATTGCGGGGAAGGCTGAGCCCTGGCCTCGCACACCCTGGGGAGGGAACTTGGAAGAAGCGACAATTTGCTCTGCCTCTTCGGCGTTGTTGATCTGGGGAACCATGATGCCATGGGCACCGGTATCAAGGGCGCGCTTGAGGATATCGTGGGCGGGGCCACGGATGCGGATGACCGGGGAAACGCCGAGGGCGGAGATGGCAGAGACAGAGTTATGCATGGCATCGTCGCCAATGTGTCCGTGCTCGCAGTCAATGATGATACCATCGACACCGGTCAGGGCAACGATCTGGGCTTGGCGGATGGAGGGAATGGCCATAAAGGTCATGAGCGGGAACTCGCCAGCCTTAATCTTGTTGAGGAGTCTCAATCGAGAGTTCTCGATTGAGGTTGTAAGGGGGGTAGGGTAAGCCATTGTGATGGTAGAGTTATTAGACGGTGGAGGTGGTTTTTGGAGTTGTCTGTTGAGGGTTTGAGAGTGAGATGAAGACGAAAGAGGTCGATAAGATGCTAGTTTAAGTATCATTTATTAATTTACGTATCCATAACCCCCTCATTCATCTGGAGTGAAGATAGAAAACATGGACCAAAAATGAGGAGCTTAGACATGGTCAACATGAGCTCTTGGATGTAGTTAGGGCAGACTAGTGGCAAATCTCGGGGTGGCTTATCGCCTAGTTACAGTTCTGATTAGGGGCCCACCTGAAAGTGTCGGATTCTATGCGGGACTTGCCTCCGAGATTGTGGATTTTGTCAGGATGGCCACTAACATTTACCGTCCTCCGAAAGAAAAGCCCACCTGCTCCTCCCAAAAACTTCTTATCAACCTCGGGGATATGCGAGAGCTCCTCCCAAGCCTAGCTTAATGCACCCCAGATTTCAACCAAACTCTGCATCTGGGGTAATAGATTCCAATTGGACAGATAACCATTGGGCGCTCATGCGTACTGCTATCTCCAAAGCCTATCTACTCGTCTCACTTATCAACTACGAATGACCGGATCTTAACCAATCTCGACCAATGAATGCCTCGAGATTCCTTGAAAAGGAGTTCTGGTCATTAGTTGACTCCCGAGGTCGGATATTGGTAATGACTCTCCGCTAAGTCGGCAAATGCAGAGACTGGGTTGAACTATATAGAGGGGAGCTCAAGTATCGTCTCGAAGATCCAACCTGCAACCTGCAACACTCTCTGTTGCAACACAGTCTCCATTGTTTATTATCGTTTCGAAGATCGAGCCTGCAGCCTGCAACCTGCAATACTCTCTGTTGCAACGCAGTCTCCATTGTTTATACTCGCTGTGGTCTTGGCAAGCACCACAAGCACTACTCCTTCCTCATGTCTTTCCCTATGGACAAGAAAGAGTCTGTCCTAGCTGAAGACAATGTCTCGTCGGCAGAAGGACAAGTCGATGCCTACAACCGCATGCCAGAATCACTTCGTGCACTCGGCGACGATGAGTTCGATGCTCTCAAGAAGAAGATCGTCCACAAGATCGACCTCTTCGTCCTTCCAACCATTGGAATCCTCTATATTTTGAATTATATAGATCGTCAAAACCTCAGCTCGGCAAAACTTCAGGGCATCATGGAAGATCTGAACATGTCTACTGAGCAATTTGCCACGGCTGTTTCCATTCTATTTGTCGGTTACCTACCATTCCAAATTCCCAGCAACCTCATCATTACAAAGATATCCCGACCAGGCATGTACATATGTGGTGCCGTGACAATCTGGGGTGCTATATCGGCTTGTACAGCGGCGGTCACAACATATGGTCAACTCCTCGCTGTTCGAGCCATCCTCGGAGCCGCCGAAGCCGTTTTCTTCCCCGGAGCCATCTATTACCTTTCTGCCTGGTACACAAAGAGGGAGCTAGGAAAGCGTATTGCCGGGCTATACATTGCCCAGCAAGTTGGAAATGCCTTTGGTGGTCTCTTCGCCGCAGCCATCCTTCAACTTGATGGGCACCACGGCATCCGCGGCTGGAGATGGCTATTCATCATCGAGGGCAGTGCCACTGTCGGTATTGGCATCATCTGCGCCTGCATCATGCCAGAATTCCCCCACAACAGCCGCATCCTTTCCCAGATTGAGCGCGACTGCGCTGTATGGCGTATCGAGTCCGAGGCTGGTGCGGCAGAGGGCACAGAAGACGAGAGCGTGTTGAAAGGGTTTGCCAAAGCCCTCCGAGACCCCAAGCTGGTCCTGCTCATCTTTTGCAACATGCTATCCCAAACACAAGGCTCCATCGCCAACTACTTCCCCACCCTTGTGGCCTCGCTCAACTTCTCCAGCACGATCAGCTTGCTTCTCACGGCACCCCCCTATATCCTCGCCGGTCTCGTCTACTACGTCCTCATGTTCTACTCCGATCGAAAGAATACCGTATACCCTATCATCATCCTTTGTATCTCCATCTCGATCCCGATGTATATCATCCCGATGGCCAGTACCAACGTCGGTGCTCGCTACTTCTCGATGATGATCCTGCCCTTCGCCTCTGTCGGTCCTCAGCTACTCCTATACAAGACCATCAACTTGCATCTTGCACGCCCCATCTCGAAGCGAGCGGCTGCCTCTGCTTTGGTTAATGCTATCGGTGGTACGTCCAACATCTGGGCCTCATACCTATACTTTGGAGAGCCCCATTTCTATGCTGCCTTCGGCACGCTTATGGGTGCTGCTGTCTTGTTCGGGTTCACTATCACTGCATACCGCTGGCTCGTCTTGCGCGAGAACAAACGTTTGGATTCTGGCGATCCCGTGGAAATCGCCAAGGTGATCAAGGGTGGCGTCACAGAGGAAATGGTACAGCTCAACTGGCGCTACGAGATGTACTAATCAATAGCTATGTTGTTTTTTATTTTGTTTATTGCTAATGTATTGCTGGGATCAAGATATGGGTTCGTGTCACATGGTTATAGTTATGGTATAGTTTAGCTTAGGGAAATGGATATAACAATGGAATATAGTTGAGAATGATTGGATTGTTCAAACCTGCGACAAAATACTAACACAAGACAAATATTCGTAAATAGTAAGAGCATAAGAAGACCGTTATTCATTTGTCTAACTCATCCAAACACGACAAGATGAGTTTCCCAATCTGCCATTTCTGTCTTCGCTGGAAGACCTTTCTCGCCCACATCAGAGCCCCTTCCGTATCACCATCATGGACGCCCACAGCATCCATTGCACCGGGTAGTCCACCATGTATTAGTTGCCATGCAATCAAAAAGGCTTTATACGCATACAAGGTCACCCACGGCGCTTCAGAGCCCAGTATGACCGTTTCATTCAAATATCGTAGGAACCAGTTGACATGCGGTTGTATAGCTTTGGCCGTGTTTGGATCGCACAAAAACTGTGACGGTCCTAGGTATGTTGACTGACTAAGAACGGCGTCTATGCTTCCTTCCACAATGCCGCCAGTATGAGATGGTGACCACATCTGCAGCTCGATCATGGCAGTCTCCCAAGTAGCAGCGCATGACGTCGCATGCTTTGTTTGCGCTGTGTTATTTCCAGGGCAAATAAATGGACTAAGTGCGACCAGGGACGATCTTAATGCCCCGAATCGTTCCATACTCAGCATCCCCGTCATTGTAGACCAACCTGAGATTTCCCGGGCGCTAGAGATCAGAAATTGCGCAATGTTTATAGCACCGTATGGGTCGAATGTTGGAATGGAGGTGATTTCGTCATCGGAAGAAAGGAAGCGTCGAACAGCATCAGTGTATGTGACCGAGGGGCCGGAATTTCTTGCAACAAGCTGTCGATGAGCCCATTCGGCAGCAGACGATGATGACCATTGGTCTTCTGGACATGGCATTTCATGCTTGATTTCCAGATGTGAGATTGAGCGGGGAATAGAAAGGAATTGGTACCAAAGCGCGTCGATTTGATGCACTGCAAAAAGGGTCCGTTTGTGTGACTCAGCTTTGACAAATTCCCGCCATAATGACTCCAAATCTGCGGTCGTACCCAACTCAACAGTCATTGGCTGTGTCATTCGTCCAGTGCGAACCAGAGAGATGATATGCGAATGCATCTTGAGGCCGCATGCTGAGTTGTCGCCACAAAGGTACATCATGGCACAGATTTGAAGGAGCAAGTATGATTGAACCAGTGTGGTAATCATTGTTGAAGCATCGGGTCTTTCTTCATCAGAAGCAAGGAGAGCTCGAGCTTTATGGAAGCAACGTATAGAAAAGCTTTCGCCTGAGCCTTCTTGGTCCCCGCATTCTGGGTCTTCGCCATATTGATAGGCGAGGCAAAGCATACTGAGGACTAAATGAGGAGGAACTTGTGTCGGATCAAAAGTCGAGGAATGGAGGAAGGGGAGGAAGTGGGAGACTGAGGCGAAAAATAAATTGCAGCCTCGTGAGATTTGCAAGGAAGTCGGGGCCCAATCGTCTTGGAGTCGAGGGATGTCATTCGGTGACAATCTATCCAAAATCGGGTGACTAAAACTGTACTCGGCTAGGCTTGTATCGAGTGGCTCGGCTTCCGAGGTGGACATCGGATGTAGTTGGTTGTCAAGGTGATTGGTGGGCTTCAGGAAGGATGTCCCTAATAGTAAGCTCCGTTCCAGATCTGTAGCATCCTGGACAATCTGATCGATAAGAGCAGAGTCGCTCGTCGTTGATTGGTGTTGTAACATGTCTCTTGTCAGTTGTGTCTTGGTTATCCCGGTCCTTGGCGTAGCAATATTTGGATTTTCCCTGGGGTGGCCACGGTCAAATTGCTGCTGCTGCTGCTGCTGATACCGCACCACCGGGCGCCAGACCGCATCACTATCGAACCTCGTCTCCTCTCCTGGGCTCGAGTGCACGGATCCGGGAGATGGCAAGCCACCATTGCTTCCATTGCTTCCTGTAGGCGACACCGCTGTCGGCGATACAGAAGAATTCAGCCTGTCTTGTCTGGGAGCTGGTTGGCGCTGTGTTCTCTTCGTGACTCGGTGCTGCTCATGCTCTGGATGTTTCCTCTTCATGTGGCGATTGCGCAAGTCGGGACGGGAGAAGGTAGCGTGGCAAAAGTCACAAGGAAGCGACGCTTCAGCCTGAGAGCGGTTGTGTAGTGTTGCATGTCGCTTGAGGTTCTCATGTCGAGTAAATCGACTTTGACAGACGAGACATTGGAATGGTTGATAGGACGGCATAACTTTGATCTGCGAAACTGACATGATTCGTAACGAAAGGGGGTAAATATGGCTGCCAATGCATCAGTGGGAACCTCTCAACAACCTTGGAGCGGATAAAATCCGGGGGACGGGACATACCCCACGCCGGCGTCGGGGTTTCTCCGCACGACAAAGGATTACCTCCGGACTACTGACAACAGTATAGACGAGAGTATAGATGGGACGGTACAGTGCAGGAGCATTCATAAATTATTTTTTGATAAACTCTCGTCTCAGTCATCAGCTTGTTATCGTACTCGCATATCACCTAACCTTGTCCAGACCCCCCCGTGGGGCTTGCCCTATACCGAGCGTCCACTCAGCGGGCGGCGAGTTATCAGCATATCTTTTCACGTGATGCATGCCACGTGATTAGCCCCGCTTTCATATCAGTCACGTGTAGTCGTGCCTTGACGCGTCGGGCGCTAAACCCAATTGGTGAATTATATGGCGTAATGTGATAGCTCTGGAGTGAACAATCCATATGATCTATTCATCGGTGGTCCTTTGCTGCTAAAAATTGACACTCGAGAGACTATTTTTGAGAAATAGCATAGGGCCCCGGATATATTTGCACTTCCCTGACCATCCACGGTCGTCTCCCCATCTTCATCATTGCCAAAGCTTGTATCAACTGCGTTGAAGGCAGAGAAAAATGGCAGGAAAACGCAAGTCTGATATATCTTCTACCGAAGATCAGCCTGGTCGTGCGCCAAAACTCACTCGTGTAGCTCCAACTTTGAACGCCGAAAAAGCCAGCTCAGGCCAGAGATTCGGCGAGACCGTCGACTACATTCCGTTGAACCAGGATACTAGCACAGGCGAGAGATTTGGCGAGTCTGCCGACTTCATTCCACTGAATCAACTCTCGCAAGTAGTTGGTGCCGATGAAGAGGACGAAGAAGCGCTCGATGTGATCCAAGGATCTCAGGAAGAGGATGAAGCCTCTCTAACAACCTCCATCCTCTATGGTATGCTCCTTTTTAAATAATATCGGTTCCCCCTCATCTATTCTAAAAACTATACTAAACCACACCAAATAGGTATTGTTTCCACAAAGATCGTTGGTGTGCGTTTTTATAGGGGCCGTGCCAACCCAGGTGAACGTGTCATCATAAATCGGGAGGCCAATAATCAATATGATCGCAATGCTATTAGAGTTGACAATGTCATGGGTGCCCAAGTTGGCCACATTCCACGACAGATGGCAGCGAAGCTGGCATCCTACATGGTAACGTTCCAATAATATTGCTTTCGGGGCATTGCTAACGTTTGCTATCAAAGGATGCTCGCGATCTCATTATTGAAGGCACATTGACTGGTGCGATTGGAGATTTCTGGTGCCCGGTTGATTTGAAACTTTTCGGGACTCGCGATCCTACCAGACGATCCAATCTGAAGCAACGAATGCAGAATGACAAGCTTCCTGTTCGCCAACTGAACGAGTTGGAACGCGAGGAACGCAAGGCAGAGAAAGCAACCGAGAAACAGCTGAAGGAGGCCGCAAAGAAAGCTCGCGCTATGGCTCTTGGCAAAGCTGCAACACAATGGCAAGCCAACCAGAACTCAGAGTATGCGAACCTCTCGACCCCGACGGGACTTGGTGGCGAGCAAAATGAGAGCTTGGAAGAACTCCTTAACCAGAGCTCCACCTTCAATCCCCGAGATATTGGTCAAGTTGTAGAAACTTTCGGACAGAAGGAGTCTGACCTGGTAAATATGCCGATGGTCGATACTCCACCCGGCCTTTCCACCCAGTTGCTTCCATATCAGCGCCAGGGGCTAGCTTGGATGATCAAGCAAGAATCGCCAAGCCTTCCTACAAAGGGCTCCGATGATATCGTGCAGTTGTGGAAACGGACAAATACCGAATTTCTCAATGTCGCAACAAATTATGCCACGGCCACGGAGCCAGTCCTCGCCAGCGGTGGCATTCTTGCTGATGATATGGGCTTGGGCAAGACAATTCAGATCATTTCTTTGATTCTTGCCAATGTAAAGCCTCTCACTGCAGGCTCCTCTAAGACCACTTTGATCATTGCCCCTGTCGGTGTCATGAGCAACTGGAGGAATCAGATCCAGGATCATGCGCACAAGGAGACCGCCCCGAGTGTCTTGATCTACCACGGCTCTGGAAAGAAGGAAGCTGCGAACTTGGCAAAGTATGATGTTGTAATCACCAGCTATGGAGCCCTGGCCCTGGACTTCAATCCGAATGCCAATAAGCCACCTATTAAGGGCATCTTTTCGCTGCATTGGCGTCGTGTCGTACTTGACGAAGGCCATACCATCCGAAACCCTAGTTCCAAGGCCTCCCTTGCGGCCTGTGGCTTGCGTGCCGACTCCCGCTGGACCCTGACCGGAACCCCCATTATCAACACTCTGAAGGACTTGTATGCGCAAATACGTTTCCTTAAGTTTTCCGGTGGCTTGGAAGATTTGAGGATCTTCAACAGTGTCTTGATCCGGCCCTTGACTGCAGGGGAGCCCGAGGCTCGACTGCTTCTTGAGGCTCTCATGGGCACCATCTGCCTGCGACGTAGGAAGGATATGGGCTTCATCAATTTAAAGCTGCCTGAGATGACATCTCGGATCATTCGAATCAAGTTCAATGCCCATGAACAGGAGAAGTACAACGCTTTCCAGTATGTATCGAGTCACTACCAGTGAAAACACATTTGCTAACAACAATCATAGAACGGAGGCCAAAGGTGCTCTTCTCGACTTCAAGGATAAAGATGGTACGACCAAATATTCTCACCTCCTCGAGGTTCTTCTCCGTCTTCGTCAAGTCTGCAATCACTGGGCGCTTTGCAAGAACCGCGTTGACAAACTAATGAGCATGCTGGAGGAACACAAAGTCGTGCCTTTAACGCCTGAGAACGTCCACGCACTGCAAGAGATGCTGCAGCTCCAGATAGAAAGCCAGGAAATGTGTGCCATCTGCCTTGACAACCTTGAACAACCCGTCATAACCGCCTGTGCCCATTCCTATTGCCGGGGCTGCATCGAGCAGGTTATTGAACGTCAGCACAAGTGTCCGCTCTGCCGCGCAGATATCAACGAGAACAACACACTCGTCTCACCAGCTGTGGAACTGGGTGAAGACACAGATACTATTGAAGCCGACCCCGACAGTCCAAGCAGTAAGATCGAGACCCTGGTCAAGATCCTAACTGCTCAGGGCCAGACACCAGGCACAAAGACCGTGGTTTTTAGCCAATGGACCTCATTCCTGGATCTAATCGAGCCGCAACTTGAGCAGCGCGGGGTCAAGTTCGCCCGCGTAGATGGCAAGATGCAGTCTGTGAAACGCGACAACTCCATCAACTCATTCTCTAACGACCCTGAGTGTACTGTCCTCCTCGCTAGTCTAAGCGTGTGCAGTGTTGGCCTCAACCTTGTTGCAGCAAACCAGGTCATCTTGTGTGACAGTTGGTGGGCGCCAGCTATCGAGGATCAAGCTGTCGATCGTGTGTATCGGCTTGGGCAGAAGCGAGAGACAACAGTCTGGAGACTAGTTATGGAAGATAGTATTGAGGAGCGGGTATTGGCGATCCAAGAGCGTAAGAGAAGCCTTATGCTTGCTGCTTTCCGGGAGACGAAGAAGAAAGCTGAGGATCGAGGAACTCGCGTTGCAGACCTGGAGGCTCTTTTGCAATAAAGGCGTGACAGGGTGCTAGAGGTCAGATGACGGCTATATCTCTTTGCTAGTTAGTGGTCGACATAGCTAACATGAAAATTGTCTGATCTTCCTTTGTCCCATCTCCCTGTTTCTAGATTGCATGTGCTTCATCCCATCACAATATCTTTCCACTAAGCTACTGGGAAGGTATAAATACTCCCTCTCCATCTTCCCCTTCCCCTTCCCCTTCCCCTTCCCCTCCACCTTTACCTTCCACTTTTACCTTCACCTTCACCTTGCCCTTCCCTTTGACCTTCACCTCGACATTGGGAGCTCAGCTTCTGCCTCTTCCTTGCCCTTTCTTCCCCTTCCCCTAATCCAGCTGCACGGGTCCTGTGTGCGGCACCTGAGCAAGACTTGCACCTTTACGCGGTGTTCAGGATGAGTAGCCTTCATGGTGAAACTAAGCAAGTCCTGATTATCTAAAACTGAAATAGAATTTGGTATTGAAGTATTCATACACTGTCTACAGTAACCTATAGACTAGTAATCATAATAGCCCCATCCGCTTTTCAGTCTCATCGCTCGGGTCTGTGTTCGAGTTTCAATCGCATTTGTCTTGAGGATCATATCCAGTCTCTTCCACCTCACCCTCCGGATGTATTTTCGAGCTTTGACCAACTTCGACTCGAGGTCCATAACCTTTCGACGCAAACGCAGCCAGATGTCAACCCGACTACCTACCAGTACATGTATCCTGGAGACAACGGCCCTTCCAAGTGGACAGTTCTCGAGGTCGTTGCGTTCCTTTGTCGAAATGAACCGGTTCCATGGGCCTATGGCCTCGTCCCTCCCGATTTTGTGGCGCTAGAGGCAAGCATTCGCAACAACCTCATCGATGACAATTATTTGTTCTATCGCATCTGCGAGCGTAACATTCAAAGCCCCCCCGGGCTACGTATTATTCCTCATCGCCTATACGTGCTGTGTGGCATCGCGTGGCTGCAGCTACGATCCCCACGATTCACTCTGAGCCCGGTACATCCTCCAAGTCCAGCTCTTGGATATAAATAATCGTTAGGTCATTCTTCTTCTTCTTCTTCTTCTTCTTCTTCTTCTTCCAATCATGCTCCCGTAACCAACCACTGGTACCTGTATCCTATCTCATCATTCTTTGCTGATCTAACATTGCGTTAGGCTGGTGCCTACCAAATCGAACAGAGGAGGCCGGTATTTGTATACCGGATGATTGCGGGGAGCACCTTTGAGGAGAAGCTTTAAGGGGAAATGCTTTTAAAAGTCAGCTCGCATGTCGAGTGGGTTGACCAAAGCAACCTTGTGGGCATGTGGTCCAAGTCATAGGACCCATATCTTGCCCATTACACGACTAGTTCTCAAAAACGCGGCATTGACAAGTTCGTCCTCGATAAAGACCAAGGATGGTAAACGGGCTTCTATCGTCTGAGTATGCTGCGTGAATCATTGTGATCAAGCTCTCGGGTCACCGGGAGATAGACTAACAGCTACGGAACGGTAGTCGTGGAGACGCACTGCGCTTGCGACTCTTGCGCATTGATTCTCTGTAAGTACTCGTCGGGTTTGCTTTTTTGAGGTCTATTCTTTCTCTCGGTGTTATCTTTATTGCTATATTCACGTTTATTATATTCACATTGATAATTGCAGCTATCTTTCAATTATCTGACACTTTTAGATCAACTTGGATTTATCACTTAACACAACTCTTGTAAGATATAGTCGTACTTATTAAAGGCTATGCATAGAGAAGTCTTTGTGTAAAGTATTCTTTTTACTGCCTTGGTATGCATCTCAGAAGACATCCAAAAAGACGTAAGGCCGTATAAGACGCTGACTATTGTTATTCTTGTAATTGAACTAGCCTACCTAGGTAGAGGATCGGACAAGAACGTCGAATAGAGCACAATATGGGATTTTCAGTGGAGCACCATCGACTGTAGTTCTAGTCACATCCACTTCAGTACACGGATATGACTGCTGCATAATCGAACGGCTGTTGGAGGGGTGGCACGTTGCCGGGATTTTGGCGGAGGCTGTCAATGTAGGCTCTGGTCAAGGGTCGAGGGGCATTAGGTGGAGCAAGCTGCCATTGTTCAAAATGTACAGCGGTCTTCTTAGTAGATATAATGATCACTATACGTACTTCTCCATTGGAGGCTCCGAACCACCGTCTAGCATCTTGACGTAGTCTTGGCAGGCTCTCAGATACACCTGTTTCAACAACCACGGTGGGCCATAGCAAACTAGTACTAGACGGCCAGCGTGCAGAGGGGCTGAAGACTCGGTATCCCTATTTGTTCCGCGATGGGGATTTATATCGTGTCGCTCCGCCCCAACGATATTACTCACTGAGTCCCATACTATCCAGTTGCAGATTGACTTTCTGCAAGAGTTCCGTAGTGGTGTATTCATGGCGATACCCTGGGATGACGTGCAAAAGACCTGTACCACCTTCAAACTCAAACCGGTAGTTCATGTGAACCAATTGAGATGGGGCCCCCAGATGTCAAGGTGAAGAAATTCACCTGGTCTAGATTTAATAGATCTCTCTTTGCCAAAGGGGAGTACATGACATTGACCCTTAACGCAAGGCGTACATGTATTGAGCAACGTTCCATGCTTTACGGAGTGAGATAAATCTCAGTGATGACGAGAAGCACCTCAGATAGGAGTTGGGGTAGTAGTATAATTCGAAGTGAGGATGTTGTGAAAGATGAGTGATCAAGATGTAAGTAAAAGAAGATACATCAAAATTTATATATAGAATATGTTTTGTAACGGCCTTCGTATACATATAAAAAGGACATATAGAAAGATCATTAAAAATATGCACAACAGGCATGCAAGATGTTGTGTTTGATGGTAATGTCCGTTCAGGGGCAAACGCACCATCTGTACCACAACTTTGTGTGGTACATTTACATGAAACCCCTCAATCAGATCCATTGTTTTGCAAAGGAGAGCGAATGAATAGGTAAGTGATAAGTATGGCCTAAGAGTACGAAATGTGGCAATGATATAGATACATCAACTCATCTCGGAGCAGCTGTTTCGATTTCATTCTACTCCGTACACGGGAACTAATCTCAGGATGGGTGTTACCGACCAAACTGACGTGACGTGACTTTATGCCATGATCGCTTGCCCATGTAGCTAACACGGCATAGTTAGAATCCATCATCTTCTCCATCATGCCTTCGCTTGCGAATGGGGTACGGATTACAACTTTATATATTACTTCGTTAATTCTAACTGTTACTAGTGAGCCGGTCTCGCCTGCATGACAGCTTGAAGCTTTATTTGTGGCCGACGGTGGGTCCCACACTGATTATACTACTAAAAGGTCCATGCTATAGAATTTCTCATTGAGAAACTTGTAAGATGAACACCCCGAAATAAAGAGGAAAAGGAGATAGGAAATAATGGTCAATAGTGGTGAATAGAATTATCCAGTATCATATAAACCAATTATTCTTTCTTATCATGCGTAGTCTCGGCCCGTTTACTTCCAATGCCTGAAGACCAAGCAACACGAGCAAGTCGCCAAAGCACCCACATGAACCCAAGAGAGATAGCCGCACAAGTGCCAAGCTCAATATATTTACCCTGGAAGTAGCTATCCCCGCCCTCGAGTCGTAGAACCGGCACATCGATGTCCTCAACAAGACGACCACCCGTAGGCTGAAGCTGGTAGAATAGGGTTCGTGGACCGAACAAGCCGTCCCAACCGAGATTTGTGCGGTCGAACGGGTTCACGCTCATCTTCGTGTCGTCCTCAGTAGTACAGGCCCAGAATACGACGGGCCAGGGAATGTGGGCAGTGCGATGTCCTGTTTCGGAGGGTGGCAGGTAGCGCAGATGTAGAGGAATAGTGGCAGTCCAATTTGAGGAATCTGGTGTGCTGGTCCCGTCTTCGGCTTCTGGGGGGGTTGCTAGTTCAAGGAGCCAGTTTGAGCCCCAGCGCTGAACAACCCAGTCTGGGGCTTCAAGATCCATTTCGCCTGCTAGGGCGCGTAGGGCTACGAGGTTGTGTGAATCGAGGAAGAGTGGGTCTGTTGTTGCGAGCTGGTATTGATCTCCGAAGATGGTGGAGGGGAGTGTGAGATATGTGTGTAGAGCACAGGTTGCGTCGCTGGGTGCTGGTGGTCGTTTGAGGGATGATCGAGGCATGGATATGGACATTGTGGGGTGGAGGCCAGTTGGGGGAGCAAATGAAACGGTGTAGCTCGATGGTTCAGTTAGATGTTGGTGTCGGGAGGGGAATGAGAACATGGTTGGTTCTGTATAGGGAGTTAGTCGAGCCATTTCGGAGGACCAGCGATAGACAAAAGGGAAGTGATATGAGAAACGCCGAGGGCACATACTTAGCTTCTTATCCTGCCCAACAACTGCTAGCAGCCCACCCATCTTGATCTCCTCTGGCTCAAGCCCTGCGTCGGCACCCAGGAGACCGAACTCGATTTGATCGGCAGCGGATGTTGGCTTCTGAAACTGATCCGTCCAACCGCCCGTAGGTGGACTGTTCCAGAGCCCAGACACAGTTAAGGCGTGCGAATTGCTGTCATAGTCGATATCAACCGAGTCTGCAGAGAGCAGAGCATCGGCTTGGGTGTGACACTCACGGCCACCTGTACTGCTCTGGTTACAGACAGTATTCTGAATATATTCCACTAGAGATTGGACGGAAGGGAGGTGGGTGTAATATTGTAGGGAGGTCGAGGAAGCGAATCGTGTCGAGAGAAGCGGGGGTGTAATGAACGACTCCTGTATAGCAGATTCCGGGTCAGATCCAACACATGAAAAAAAAAGTATGGCTAGACAATGCCCCCGAAGTAAAATGAAGGGTTGCAAAATACCTCCTGCTTCGAACAGCCCTTAAACTGAGCGTCTTTGTTGGGCGCGACTATCGTGCGGAGCAGCGTGCACAGTGCTTCCCTATCGATAACCAAATCAGTCAACCGCAGTTTCCCAAACCCAATGTGTATAAGCGAGCTTACGAAGATGATTCCGAATTGAGTGGAGTATAATGCACATGCAGTCCAGGTGAAACCCGGCTGCTGAATGGCACGGCAGCATCGAAGGGTCTCTCGGAGGCCCAGCGGAGGTGGAGCTCATGGGATTGCTCGAGGACAACACGCAACTGAACACGACAAAATAAATCGGTTAGCATTTCTCAATTCTCAATAGGCTCTGCAATCGATAATCCTTCTCACCTCCTCCGGGAGCTCGTCCAGTCCGACCGTAATACGATCCTCCCGCGCGGCGTCCAGACCGCGGACGGAGAGGGATGACGCAGTTAACACAGCTTGCTGCGGGTCGAAGCCGGCATCGACGCGCTGGATGAAGGTGATTCTTCGTTTCATAATGTGTGTAGACAAATCGAGGGATATCAAGTGAAACGAAAGTAAACAGAAGTGACGACTTCCAAAGTTGATTTCTCCAAGGCGTCACCGGTTTCTCCGCATTCGCTCAATTGGGTTAGACTACAACATATGTTATATTACGTTATGTGGTCACGACTCATTCACATGCCCAGGTGGGCATCCTTGTATTCATACATATAAAGACTATCCTGTCAAATTAAAAGAGATTATTGAAAAACCTCATACAAAGGCTCGTTCATGTCATTGTCATTAAATACTCCCAGTTCACCCCAAACGCCAGGTATATGCAATCAAATTAAGTCCTTTTAAGGCAGCACATCCCGGAGAATGTCTTTTTGGGAGCTAGTCAAGCTAGTAGGGAAACTGACATTGGCACGGATGACCATGTCGCCGCGGTTGCTGGGGTTCTTGGAGCTCACCATGCCCAGACCGGGATAACGCTCTTCGTGGCCGGGTTGAGTTGGACCGGGCTTGGACACGCGGATGGACTTCCCGTCGATAGTGCGGACAATGCGCTCCCAGCCTGTCAGTGCTTCCTTCAGGCTGAGATCCACGGATGTGATAAGATTGTCACCAGAACGCTTGAAAGTAGGATGATCGATCTGTAAACGGTTGTTAGTAATGGTTCGTCAAGTGTATTTGTCACAGCCAGGGGCGGTCTCATACCTCTTTCACAATCAGATGAACATCCTGCCGTCCCCCTTCTTCCTGATCTCCGATATTTCTGTACTTGATCTTCGAGCCAGCACGCAGTCCAGGCTTGATATTGGCTTCCAAGGTCACCTCCTTGGTGGTGAGTTTGCCCATGCTGTCAAAGGCCTTGCTCTTCGTCTTGACCTTTTTAGTGGTACCGTTGTAGATTTCCTCCAAAGTGAGTGGCAGGTCTTTCTCGATGATAGTTGGTTCGGGTGTAGGTGCGCGTTTCGGTTTGGCGTATCCCGGACGGCTGCTACGGAAGCCAGCGCCTCCACCGCCGCCACCCAGTCCTCCTGCGAGCATCGAGATAATATCTTCTTCATCCATGCCGCCCATACCACCCATACCGCCGCCGCCGTCCTTGGCAAAGGTGCGGAAGGTATCGTTGGCATCGCTGAAACTGAACCCACCGCCGCCGTGACCGGTCGAGAAGTGGAATTTCCGCCCTCCTCCACCGCCGGGCATGCCGCCGAAGTTGAATCCTCCAGGCATGCCACCTTCAAAGCCACCTCCGCCGGCTCCGCCTGCCCCTGGCGGAGGCGGTGCGGGGCCACCTCGCATCAGATATTCAAGGCCGAACTGGTCGTATATCTTGCGTTTTTCGGGATCGGATAGGACTTCGTAGGCTTGCGAGACCTCTGTTAAGAAAATGTTAGTCATATCTGGGAAACCGAAAGTGTGCGGGGTAACGTACCTTTGAATTTATCCGCAGACTGAGGGTTGTCTTTGTTCTTGTCTGGGTGGTGCTTCAATGCTGCCTTGCGGTATGCTTTCTTAATCTCATCTTGAGTGGCATCAGGCTTGACGCTCAAGGCGTCGTAGAGCTTACTCTCGGCAACCATAGTGCGGGGTAAGATTGGGTTTATGGGAAAAAGTAAAAGGTAGGTCGAAAACCGTGGGCGTCAAACCAAAGGTGCACACTTATGAACCAACGGGAATTTCTAACAGGAAAAAGAGTCCTGTGTGGGAAGTGCGAGAGAGTGCGGTGCACTTCGTGAATGAGGTAGAAGGTTCGAAGCGGAAAGGCGGATAGAGTGTAATGGAGGGAATTGAGAGTTGAAGGAATAGGGAAAATCAAAGTTCAAGGTCATGAGATTGAAAGAAGAAATAAAGCACAAAAAAACCTGCAGCAAAGAATATGAATGTACTTTGTACTTTGTACGTGTATGCCATGTCAGTGATCAAGGTGTCTGGTGAGTGACGTCACCCATCTAGTCTTGACGTGTGTGACTTGGGCACAATCGAAGTTTCGAGAAGTTTCGATTTAACAGCAACTCGACCGATTCGACTAAAACATATCAGAACTAGTATCTATACATTCTGTTTCAAGATTCGTATTCGTTTTGATCATTTTGGTTTTTTATATTTTCCATTTCAAGTTGAAGTAGACTTTTTGGATGCGATCTACAATTCCACGGCTTGTGGAGTATAGCAACTAATGTGGAGATACTCATGTCACTCCATCGATTCTCACCAATTCATCCATTCCTGTCCCCGACCCACAGTGCTATCCGGGATAAAAAAAGGAGAAAGGAGCGAAAACCGAAGAGGTATAGAAAAGAAGGAGGGTGTTTATAGTCCTTGGTACTTCCCGATGCCAAGGGCGACTGGATATTGTGTAGGCAACTCCGATGGAACCATGTCAAATTCCCATCTCAGGTAAAGGCCATGGGACATCCGTCATTAAAAATTGGTCTAGATCAAAGTTCTGTAGACTTGGCATATCGATCATCAAATCCCCTAGCCATGAGAACTCCGCATCTGATACCAGCACATCTGGCGCAGTCTGCTCCTGGTCCTGCTTTTGGCTTTGGTCGGTGAACGTCGTCCGTGCAACCGGCTTATCATTCTGATCGTCCGCAGGGGCCGCGGCAGCAGCATTGACCCGCAACACTTCAGCGAGGGCACGTGTATCATCCTCCTTTCGCCGCTGATGCAACGCAATAAGCAAATACGCCGTAGAATACGCCTCACGCATAGAAGGTGTATCATAGGCAGCGAGAACTTCACGCAGAGTCCGCATCGCATCAGCGAGCAGCGCCAACGCAGCCCGATTGTCAATCGCTAGAAGTGAGCAGACGACCTGAAAGGGGACATTGGCAACTTGGTGCCAAGGACAGGTGGAGGCAACCATTCCTCGCGCGGCACGGAGCCCGCGACCTGCCAGTGCAAGGACGCGGTCAAGGAGATTAGCGGATAATGGGCCGTGTGGGTTTAGAGCGCGGAGTCGGCGATAGATGCATAGCATTAGGTTGCATTGGACTAAGATTAGTGAGGGTTCGGAGTAGAGAAGATCCAAGACGGATGTGAGGGCGGTTTCAAGTTCTGGGAGATCTTGTGGTGATGGCCCTGTTGGGTCGAGGTTTTCGGAGAGTGGGAGAAGGTGGAAGAGCTCTGCGTGTGGGACTCGGGGTGGTGCTTGTTGTGCTGGCTTACGGGATGGGGGTGTGGTTGTAGGCGAGAGAGCTGTGGCGCCGTGGAGAACAACGCGGGAGCGGCCGAGGTCAAAGGAAATCCATGTGTTGAGGTGGCGAGCCATGCCAAAAAGTCTTCGCCGGGTTTCGGGGTCACTGGTGCTCTGGTGTCCTATATCGCCATCTTGGCTACCACCTGTCTCGGGCGGAGATGCTTGGAGAAGGTTTGCTGCTTCAGGATCTGAGGTTTCAAGGTGCAATCCTGCAGCTTCGATGAGATGCATTAGTGTACAACTGGCCATCCATGCAGCATGTGGTGACGCTGTCATACGTAGATACGCAGCACGCAACACCCACCCTGTCACTATGTCGATCGAGGGCGTTTCCGCTGCGAGGACACTCTTATCCAGTAAAATGCGCGCGGTATCAATGAGTCGAACTTCCATTGGTATGATCTCGCGCCGCGAAAATAGATACCCGAAGGCAGCTACACCGCATAGTACAGCATCATATGGCTGTTCCGCAGAATCAATGGGAGACGACGAAGATTCCCAGCGCTGTATAATTCGAGTAAATATCATCTTACGGTCCAGAAATGTATAGCATAAATCGACCTTCTCGAAGTAAATCGCTGCTAGCCGCCGCATCTCTTCCTGGGATATGATTTTGGTAATAGTCGTCGGTGTCGGCGCCGTGGCAGACATTAATGGAAGCGCCGACGATAGTGTTGGCGATAACTGCCTCTCACCGACGTTCCAGGCAAACAATTGCAATCGTGGTGCATGCGCCGGGTCAATTTTGAGCCCAAGTTTGCGAACAAACGCGGCGCCAGAGTTGGCCTGTAGGGAATGGGTAACGCCCTCTGAACCGCTTGCACGGCGGGGAGAAGCCTGTGCCGTAGCATTGGCTGCGGCACTGATAGTATTTGGAACTGCATTGGACCAGCCACCTGTAGGTCGTTCACTGGGAAGACTCGCTTGGTACAGACTATGGGATCTGGCGCGTTTTTTGCGTGCATTGTATTGGCATTCCGCTCCAGTTTGAGCGCAGGTGCTACAAGGTTGCCCACCTGAACATTTACGCTTTCGCGACTGACACAAAGTGCAAGCTAAACGCGAGCGCCGACGAGGCGTTGATTCGGACATATTTGGACATATTTGGAAAACGAAAACTACGGGGAACATTGCGGGGAGTTAGCTAAGTTGATGCCAAGCAAATTAGACATCTTCCCCTTTTCAAATTGAACTACACTTCGATTATATTTTTTTCTCTCTCCCTTTTCTTCGCCATTCATATTTCGGCTTAATCCTTGTATTTGCTTCCATTTGGATATCCCATCAACCCCTCAACTTCCTTCAGGTCCGGCATTCCCGCTGGTCCTGGCATGTACTGAAGATTGTCCCGGAGGGTCGTGCCATTCCACCATATTTCGTTCTTGTGCAGCGCATCCATAATCATCGGCGCATCGATGTAGGTGCGGATCTCGACCATCTGGCCATTATTCCAGCGTGTGAACCAGACATTGATGATATCGAACTTATCGCCTATAATAGGTCAGCAAGTCCGCAATAGCAATGGATGCTGAAGATGGAAGGATCTGCTTGCTCACCGGAATTCATCACGCCTTTAAACTGAATCTCCTCCACTGACCATTCAGTGTTACATCCGCCATATATGCCCTGGGGGTGAATCTCAAACAGATCTGCATGGTCAAAAAACAACATGCTGACTCGACGTAGTGCATTGACATAGAAATGCATTAGATCGTGGTAGCGGCCGGCGATCGGGTGATGTCCAACAACAGTGAAACTGACATTTTTGTGGATAAGCGTGAATAGTTTGCTCATATCTTTCTCGAGGTCTTTAAATGCGTCCCAAATGTGCATTTGAGACACATATTTGCAATCTGTGGATGGGTTCTCGAACTTGAACCCTTCTCGGCCATGGGGGATTGGGTCGTCCACAACTCCAGTGCCATTGCATTTGCCATCTGGGTCAACAATCCCAGTGCCATCGTCACATCCTGGGTTGAGAAGTGGACTCTGGGTGCTGTCTCCAAGGATTGAGGGATTGGAGCGTCCAAAAGTCGCCAAAGGCAGGAGGAATGCCAACAGGGCATAGGATATATATTGAGATAAAATCATTGTTTAATTTTTGTGATGAGAACACCAAAGGCTACTTGTCTTGCTCATTTTGCCTCATATTCAACGTGGTTCTTATAGCTGGTGCTACCTTCATTTCAATAATATGCCGTGATGGGGCTCTTGGTCGCCAACGTTGCTTTCCCTTGAGCACTACGTTGTTACTCGGAGCCTAAAGGAACCCTGTCTGTGACACAACCAAACCTACCGAGATTTTGCAATTGAATGGGAAGTTTCCCACACAAAAGACTGATAATGGAGCACCTCCTAGTGGCAAATAATGGCGCGGGCAAGGTGCACTGCTGCAATGTGCCATTGGGTGGGGCAATAGTGGTGTACGGTGTAGGGTGCACAGTCAACAGAATGCAGATCATCAAACTGTCTCAGTGATTTAATATTGCCTATATTTTCTTTAAATTTATATAAAAAAATGATGCCATTGAAAAAATGTGACCAATTCTCTGTGCCTGATATGCCTGATAACCGTGAAGATATCATTGTCCAGGCCGAACCCGGCGGTCCAAGGATTGGATGAGTCAGACCCCCTAAACCGATAACAGAAATTTGACACCCTCCGATTGGCCGACACCGGCAAAGTCGGTGAGTGCACGTGCCCACGGAGTCGGGGGTTGAAAAACCTCTTGTTTCCCTTCTTTTCCGTTCTCTTCCCCATTTTCTACTCCAAAGTCTCAACCAAAAAAAACCTGCATGCTGTGCTAAATAGCGAACCCCCCCCAACCTCTCTCTACCATACCCTGACTGCCACCTGCTCAGTCGCGCTTATGTGTTTGGCACCCTCGATTTTCACCTCCCAGGACTATATCTCGGACCACCTTTGGAAAGCCAACATCAACTGAATAGCACAAAGCTTTCTACTGATTTACAATTGTTACTTATAAAATAAAAATGATCTCCAACCTCTTCAAGGCAATGCCTTCTCGGGCCTCTGCCTTCGCCTCCATGAACCGCCCTGTTCAGGCTCGCTTCATGGCTACTGTGCGTCAGCGTGCCGCTATGGAGCCTGCTACCTTCACTATCCGTGATGGCCCCATGTTCTCCGGCAAGTCTTTCGGTGCCCGCTCCAACATCTCCGGCGAGGCCGTCTTCACCACCTCTCTGGTTGGATACCCCGAGTCCTTGACCGATCCTTCATACCGTGGTCAGATCCTGGTTTTCACCCAGCCTTTGATTGGCAACTACGGTGTTCCTTCTGCCGAGAAGGATACCAATGGACTTTTGAAGTACTTCGAGTCCCCCAACCTCCAAGCAGCTGGTGTTGTTGTTGCCGATGTCGCCGAGCAATACAGTCACTGGACTGCTGTCCAGAGTCTGGGCGAGTGGTGTGCCCGTGAAGGTGTCCCTGCCATCTCCGGTGTCGATACTCGTGCCATTGTCACCTACCTGCGTGAGCAAGGCTCCTCTCTGGCCCGTATTACCGTCGGCGAAGAGTACGATGCCAACGAGGATGAGGCTTTCACTGACCCTGAGCAAATCCACCTGGTGCGCCAGGTCAGCACCAAGCAGCCTTTCCACGTCGCCGCTGCTGATCCTCACTCCCACGTTGCTGTCATCGACTGTGGTGTCAAGGAGAACATTCTCCGCAGCTTGGTTGGCCGTGGCTCCAGCGTCACTGTGCTCCCCTTCGACTACCCCATCCACAAGGTGGCCCACCACTTCGATGGTGTCTTCATCTCCAACGGCCCCGGTGACCCAACTCACTGCCAGGACACCGTCTACCACCTCAAGCGTCTGATGGAGACCTCCCAGGTCCCCATCTTCGGTATCTGCCTGGGCCACCAGCTTCTGGCTCTTGCCACTGGTGCCAGCACCATCAAGCTGAAGTACGGAAACCGGGCTCACAACATTCCCGCTCTTGACCTCAGCACTGGTCGCTGCCACATCACCAGCCAGAACCACGGTTACGCCGTTGATGCTTCGACTCTGCCCTCCGACTGGAAGCCGTACTTCGTCAACCTGAACGATCAGAGTAACGAAGGCATGATCCACAAGTCTCGTCCCATCTTCAGCACCCAGTTCCACCCCGAGGCGAAGGGCGGTCCTCTCGACTCATCCTACCTCTTCGATATCTACCTGGACTCTGTGCTGAAGTACAAGAACAACCAGGCTGGCCTCTACCCCCAGCGTGACAGCCGTCCCAGCCCTCTGCTGGTCGACCTTCTCGCTAAGGAGCGTGTGGGTGTCCAACCCACTATTGGCCAGCAGAATGTGGTGGCCGCCGCTGCTGCTGCTGCCATTGCCGCTTCTGCCTAAGCATGTCAAACGTATGTGCGGTAGGAGTTCTGGTTTTCGGAGGTTTAATTGGTTTTTTTGGGTGAATATCATTTTGTGTATTTTGTTCATAGGGTTCATGCATGGTATATGAAATCAACAGCATTAAAAACATACTTTCATCCCAAGTCTCTTTGTAGTCGTGTCAATAGTTTCATCATCGTTCTCAACCCCTAAGTTCTATTTGGCCACTATGGATACCACATCCTCATCAGCAACCAAATGTGCCAATCCTACCCGCTGCGGAACATGTCTCGCGCTCGCTCCCCACACCATCGCATACTTGAATGTGTCCTTAATTGTGCGATGAATCTGGTCACAGACATCCTCAATGGTGGAGTCCTGGCGTACGATGAGCGCCTCATCGAACTTGGGGTCCTCTCCCTTTCTATAGATACGATACTCGTCAGACAGGTTAATGAAACTAAAAGTTATGGATATATCATACCGTTTTGTGTAAAGCCGCATTAGTCTCAGTTCCTTCCAGATGCGTTCGACAACGTCTTGCACGCCGAGGTCAAGTTCACAACTCATGACGGCTGTGTAAGGCTCACGGGCAAGGGCATCGAGGAATTCGAGGCCGATGCTGTCGACCTTGTTGTAGACGTAAAGGCTGACAGAAAAGGACAAAATTTAGTATTTTGCTAGTTGAATATCAATGATCATCAGTGTCAATCTTACCAGCGAATGTACTTCCGGTGGTCTTTCATAATCACATCGATAAAGTCGTCGATCGTAGCTACAACGGTATCTCAATCAGTAATTTCGTCTGGTTGTTGTATCAAAGCACCACATACCATTCTCGTCTCGCACAAGTACCTCGCAGTTAAGAATTTTGTAATCCCGGAGCACGTTGTAAACCATTTTTTCATCCAAGTTCTTTGGGGGAGTGGCAAAAGAGATCTTCATGCCACCAGCCTTCTTGATTTTGAGGTAGATATTGCTATGATTGTATCAGTATCTGAGTCTGCGCAAAACATCGGATAAGTTATGACATACGGTGGCTCCTTATTCAACCGAATGCCTACAGCATCCAGCTCGGCCTCGAGCAAGGCTCGCTGTTCGGCACGCTTTGTGGCGTCCAGAACCATCAAAATCAAATCACTTGTCTAGAAGCAAAAGTTTTGTCAGTGTTTCTGCGCCGTTTCACATCAAAAAAAGTTAGTCCTCTGACCTTTGCGGCGGAAATGACCTGCCGACCACGGCCTTTGCCTTCAGAGGCACCTTCGATAATACCTGGCAAATCCAAGATCTGAATCTCGGCACCACCATACTCCAGCACTCCGGGAATAGCCGTCAGTGTGGTGAAAGAGTAGGCTGCAGCTTCACTCTTGGTCTTGGTGATTTTAGACAGAAAAGTAGACTTTCCAACAGAGGGAAAGCCAACAAGAGCCACTCGGGCATCGCCGCTCTTGCTGACATCAAATCCCGCGCCGCCGCCAGAGCCAGCACCTCCCACTGGCTCCAACAGCTGGGCTCGTAGTCGGGCAAGTTTTCTGAAAATGTTGTTAGTGTATATTTTTAAAATTTCAGTCAAAGGAATCAGACTATACCCTTTCAATAGACCCAAATGGTATTCTGATTTGAAAATTCGATAATTAGATCAAATCCTCCTTCGGTCAAGAGGGCATCTTACCTGTAGCCTTGTTCTCTGTGGATCATTAGCGGGGTGATATATGTTTGAAGATAAGAACACTTACTCTGCGTTCGGCGCATCTCATCCTCGATCCTGTAAAAGATCAGCAAATTGCCATATTCGACAATTAACAAGAAACATACTCCTTAATCTTTTCCGTTATGTTCACCATCTTGTCGGTTGCTGAGGCTTGTCGCCTGCGAAATCACTAAATCTTTTTCTTTGCTTCGTTGTGCCTCAGAGAGGGAAATACCAAATCCGCCCAATGTGCCCGCCGCACCTGCCAAGCCTTATGTAAGCGCCTCAGATGGAACCGCAGGACGTCAACCTTTTTTTTGAAAGCTCAAGCTTAACCTTCCAACTCAACCTCTCCAACACAAACACGACCATGGCAGATACATCGGTTGCTGAGCCACCGGCTCCCATTTCCACCACTGCCCCCGAAACCCTCGAACCCAATGCCGAACAGACTGTGGCGACGACCGGTGCCGCGGACGACACTCCGCAAGGAGATCAGCAGCTTCAGTCGGTCAAAAAAACCAAAATTATTCGCAGGAAGAAGCGCCCAGCGAGAATACAAGTCGATCCATCAACCATCAAAGCTGAGCCCGCCCAGCAGCCCGGACTCGACTATAACATTTGGTACAACAAGAGCGGCGACAACGACGACAAATATGGTCTCAGCCATCCCGCGCCTAGTCGCTGCAATATTGCGCGTGACTCGGGATACACTCGCGCTGATCGCATCCCGGGCTCGTTCTTCTGGTACGAAACTTTGTCCTTCATGACTTTCAAGGTTATATTGCGTCTCAGCAGACATTTGCTAATCCTTTTCCTGTTTTATCTAGCATACATTTTGCGCGAGGTGTTTGCGTGAAAGGTCAGGACTGCGAATACCTCCATCGTCTACCGACGATTCATGATATGTTAGTGTGATTCCCATGCCTTACACGATTCGAGGGTTCCTTCACTTTGTTAAGACTCGTCAGATATAAAACAACCAGGCTAATCAAGTCATTTTTATAGGTTCAATCCGAACATGGACTGCTTTGGTTAGTATTATTTCCAATCTTGCTATTGATACTTGAAAACGGGCGACTAACTCCAGACTATAGGGAGAGACAAGCACAGCGATTACAAGGAAGTGCGTATCATGCCTTTGTGTGATTGGGAGATGTTGCTTCCGCTTGAGCATATCGCTAATGCTACTTGAAATAGGATATGTCCGGAGTGGGCTCGTTCACGCGCCAAAATAGGACAATCTACGTGGGCCGGATTACGGTTTCGTGAGTATCTCAAAAGGTTATACTTCATACTCTTGCTAATCAATATATAGAGATGACATCGAAGAAGTTTGCTCAAGGCATTTTGCGGAATGGGGTCAAATCGAGAGAACAAGAGTACTTACCGGACGGGGCGTGGCTTTCGTGACCTATTCGTCAGAAAGTAATGCGCAGTTTGCGTGAGATTTCCCTCCCCGAGCTCTTTGTTTATACCGAACTAACACATGAGTAAAGTCTAGTTGCGATGCAAAACCAAAGCTTAGACCACGAAGTGAGTACAACGTTTCAACCTGCGAGATACGACATATGATACAACAGTTACTAACAACAAGTAGGAAATTCTTAACGTACGGTGGGCAACAGTTGACCCGAACCCAATGGCACAGAAGCGCGAGGCACGCCGGTTAGAAGAGCAAGCTGCCGAGGCTGTTCGCCGGGCTCTTCCCGCAGCCTTTGTAGCAGAAATCGAAGGCCGAGACCCAGAGGCTAAAAAGCGGAAGAAGATCGAGGGTACTTTCGGACTACAGGGCTATGATGTTCCAGATGATGTGTGGCATGCCAGAACCCGTCAATTGGAGGATGCGAGCCAGGCCGCTCAGCTAGAGGCACCCGAACAACCGATGATGATCGAGTCTGCTCCAGCTTCGGTACAGGAGCAGCAGCAGCAGCAGCAGCCACGGAGTAATGGCATCTTCTCCAGCTCTGCTGTTGCAGCCCTACACGGTCTTAACGGTGGAAGGGTGACAACCCAGGCACCCAAAGCTACTGCTGGACCGTTAGTCACCTACGGCAGCGACGATGAGAGTGACTGATTTTACGTGCACTTTTATCCATCATGATTGCGAATTTTTTCATGTACAACAGCAACGATACCTCTGTCAAAATGTTTATTTTCTCTGCCTGCATCTCCATACAAGATATCCGTAACTATTATTTCTGGGCGTCATTCATCACTACATGTATGGTATCATCCCGAGCACTCGCTAAAAGACAGCATTGAGAGTGTCAAACAAAATGAGATACATCCACCCATAAACCAAATGCAAACACCATGAGTCCCATTGACCCGAGACTTATGCTTAACTTAACTCCACCTTGTCACTCTTCCACCCATGAGATCAATCAGTCGTAAATTCATTTATCGCTAGGGTCCCAGGTCGTAGTACACGCAGGAGCCTGTACGGTAGTTGTAGATGAAAGCATTCGTGTAGCTTTCTGTGTCATTTGTGCGATTCTCCACAGCCAAATCAGTGAGTAGCTCGTGTACTTGACTGAGATACTTCCGCTCTGTCAGCGGTGCGTTCTGGATCACGCTGCGCCAGCTCTCTGCGTCAGAAAGACGCGTGTCCCGAATAGCGTCGAGGACTTCGTCGCGGGTATCGATAGCAGCGACAGGGCCGTTGCGGGCGTTTTCGGCTACTTCGCGAGCGGAAAGTAGGGCTAGAACACAATGTATCAGTCAGTATATTGAACTAATAGGGTTTCACTTGAAACATCAACATACCTGACTCAACAATATTCCTTCTGTTGGTCTTCTTGCTTCGATGTTGGGGGACGAGGATGCGAACATCATTTGCCCGTTCCTGGGACGCGAGAGCCTCCTGCTGGCTCAATTGACGGGATTGGCGGGGATCAGCAGTTCCCTCGCGATGGTGGCGCGCCTGCACTTCTGATCGAAGCCACAGCACAAGTTCAGGGGTGCGGATATCAAATTCCTCCTTGCGCATCAGGTTCCGAACTTTGAATCCACGCTCCTTGCTATCTTGCTTGGCAATCACAATGCACCGGTGATTGGAGTCTTTGTATTTTACCAGAAGCTCTTCAAGGGACGAGGCATCGACTGCAAGCTCTGCGCTTATGTCGTTTGACCAGAGTTCTTCGATGAGTTTGACTCCTGTTGTGCGAAGGACGGTTGGGTCAAAGCTGGCAACAAGTACATCACACTGTGTTGAAGATCAGCAAAGACTACACTCAACGAGTTGAGATGGGAGGTCACTTACCCGACGGGCCGCCCAGTACGACTCAGAACTCGCCTCGGAGTCTTTCGAGAGAGCCTTGGCCTTCAGATAATCGATCATTGATGAGCGCAATCGATCCGAACCGAGGTTGAAACCCACAGCATGCGCTTGTGGTCGGTTTGATAGGACATTAGGTGAGAATTCCTGGATCAACCGGTCATATCTGCCACCTGCAGCAAACACATCGCGTCGCTTGCTATCAAAGATACACTGGAACAGAATGCTACCGCGGTAGAACTTGTCATGAACACTGCTGAGTGGCTTGATGTAGACTTTTCGTTTCACGCCAAAAGTCTGCAAATAGGTCATGAGCACGTTCAAGCGCGCGAATATTGGGGAAATCCGCTCTGCGTATTCCGTTCCTTCCATGATGTTCTGCAGCCTGCGTTTTGTCTCCTTCAACGAGTCTGTATCATATTCATTAGCGTATTGTCCTCGATCTGAGAAAGTAAGATTCAGTACCTCTAAAATCGAAACGGGCAAGGTCGTCCAACGAAGTCGAAGCAACACCAATTGCCGGGGCTCGGAGTTCACTTCGAATCGTTTGCATGGTATATTTTCCAACATTCAGCTTACTGAGAACCTCCTTTACCTTTGGGATTTGCGTAGGCGTGATGCGGCAGAATTCCATGATAAGTTGGAGCAGGTCGGAGTGATTGACAAGGAAACACATCGGGGTAGACCGCAAAGGTGGGAATTCCTCGATGATTTCATCCAAAACCTTGATCACTTCTGCCTCCTTTAAGGCTAGATCCAGGGTGTTGTGGGACACAATATCAAAGTCAACTTCACGGTGGGTTCGTGGTTCGCTCCCATGGGGTGAATCTCTGTAAACTGTGCCAAATGCAAATGTCTTTTCCAATGAGCGATCTTGTCTTGGAATTGCTCGTGCGTTTGGAAGTGTGAGATCATATGGCAGCTGTAAAAGATTGCCAGATGCATCCAGCACACGTACAGCACCGCTATTGTAATGCTGGGATCTGGGAAATAGCATTTGCCTTGTTGACTCAACAGCACCGTGTCTTCGAAATATCGAGGTTAGCTTCTTTTTGACCAGGCCCTGGACAAGTAGCTCGTTGGCGGCCGGTACCGCATGCGAGTCTATGTCCCACGCAATATCTTCAAATTTCTTAGGCGACTGAGAAAAGATGGCTGATAGAATCTTTTTGTAGTCGGGTGAATTTGGATCCGAGAGTAGATGCACAATAGCCCGTCTGAATGTCTCTTCCTCGACCTGAAGAGGGATCTTTCCACTGGATAAAAGGTCGGAGGCTGTGGGACGCTCGCTTGGGGTATGGCTCAGAAGAGATTCAATGATCTGGCCTTGAAGTAACTTGTCAGATTGCTGGAAAGTGGGTGGAAGAGTATGGTTCTTTTCTCGGATTTGTCGGAGAGTTTGATCTCGTTCCATGCCAGTTGGCAATGGATGACACATCTCAAAGAAAATAACACCGAGCGAATACATCTAGAATGCGTAAGCATATACTTGTGGTGCCAATTGTATATCCACTACTCACATCGACCTTCTCATTGTAGTGCCCCAAAACAACCGACTTCATCTCCGGTGCCACATAGTAGGTTGTACCCAAACTGCGAGTGAAATCCCCTTCAAAGTCTGCGGCTGCGGACGAACGCACGGCCGTGGTGAATTGACCACTTGTTGCAAGGCCGAAGTCACCAATGCGGGGATTGTTTGCAACGTCAATGAAAATGTTGTCAGGCTTCAAGTCACGGTGTATGATGCCGTGACTATGAATATGGCTCAATCCATCGAGGATTTGGCGAAAGAGACGCCATGAACGCTCGGTATCATCGCACAGATCATCCCTTATTAGATCGCGCAAAGTCTTGGGCAAAATTAGTCTATAAAAGCGAGCGGGGCGGGATTAAAATACTTACATGCTTCTCACAGTACTCCATCTGGATGTAGAGTGTGGTTAAAATAGGCCTGGCATAAGAGCCAGATCTCGCTCGGCTAAGCTCTTCTTCTGTGCTTCTGGAATCAACGCCAGTATCGTTTACCCTCTCTGGCGTCTCTGGGTGAGCAGGGTCGGATAACGTTCCTTCGTTTTCATCATCGCTGTCTGATGCGGCAAACTCTATTTTGGGATACCCGCTGGAACTGATGAAATCGAGGCCTCCTGTACTGAATCCGTGGTGATCCTGGCTAGCAAACGGGTCTCCTTCGGTGGAGGACATAGCCTCTTCTTCGATTTGATTGAAGTCCTCTTCGAGCCAAGCAGTGTAGTATCGAACAACATAGGAGTGGTTCAGCCGAGATAGCAACATGGTCTCGGAAAGCGTGTCTTTCAACGCTGCGGCCGATGTTTGTGAGATCTTCTTGATTGCATACAATCGACCATCGAGCTTGTTCCGGGCTTTGACTACCTGTCCAAATCCACCACGGCCTAGTTGACCTGCCTCGTCGAAGTCTTGGTGGTATCGTGAGAAAGCCGGCATGGCCCCAAAAGAGTCTAGGCGTGGCCGTCTCTGCAATGACACAGATCCCGACGCTCTTTCTCGCATCTTTAACGGCGCATCCACCCGGAAGAACTCAGAGGGTTGGAGTTGGAAAGCAGTCGGACGCTTCCTGGGATCTGGGCGGAAGAATTCACAAAGCAAATCTTGCAAGGGCGGCGAGAGCCCCATAGACACCATCAACTGATTGGCGGAGGTATACCTAAGGAGGACATCCTTTCCAAAGCCCATCTGAAGCAGCACAATTCCAAGATCCCAGACATCGGTCTTCATGGAAGGAGAAGAACTGTCCTGGGTCAGCTCCGGGGGTGCCCAAAGTGGTGATTTTGACGCCGCGAAAGAGGGCTTTCCACAGGGAGCGTCGGGCAAAGCTTCCTCGACGTTAGACTGCAGTTTAACGATAGTTTCACCAGAAGGAGTCCTGAACAAAAAGACTCGACCACAATGAATGTTCCCATGGACAAAACCGCTGCGGTGGTAGAACTCTAGGGCCTCAAGTAACTGAATCATCCAGCCGCGAAGCATGTCAACAGCTACGGTCCCCACGATATCTAGGAGCTCGGAAAGGGAACCCTTGTTTGCATACTCCCAAAGTGTAAAGACAGTCCAAGAATTATCAGGAGAATCGAGGTTGCCAACTGGGCGATTGATTTTGAACCCCACGAATTCAACCAGATTGGGGTGTCGTAACCGCTTGATGCCCTCTAACTTATCCTCGCTGGTGCGCATCTGCTCGCGGAATGTCAATCCCTCGGAATTATTTTCGCTGAGACAAAGCTCTTTCAAAACAAGCAGCGGGACGTGGCATCGGTTCTCAGACACAACAGGCCTGACAGTGAAGGTCTTTTTGCACTGTTTGCTTTGCAGCAGGGTCTTGCCATGAACGGCGCGGAAGACCAGCGGCTGCTCATCGGTGTCGTTGACGGCTAACGGAGGATCAAAGCAGATGGCGCCAGGGGTATTTTCCACAAGCTCATCAACGTAACTCATATCCGCGCCGCCAGTTCGACTCTTTCGTCTCAAAATGCGAGCCTTGTTCCGCTGTCGCATCTTGTCTTGAAGCATTTCTTGTAATGCGCGCTCTTCCTCGACCGCTGCAGCCTTTTGTTTGCGAAGTTCCTCCTGTTTTTCTAGGTCTGCACGTTGAAGAGCAGCCGCCTCTTGCTCCATACGCTCCTCTTCAAGGCTGGGTAGGTCTTTGTCCTGTGCCTGTGCCTGAGCAACATCCTCCAGAACATCTTGGATGGACACTGCCAGCTCGTAGATCATCTCACTTCCGAGCAGAGATTTTGGTTTGTTGCGTAGAATATCTTGAATTCGGGAACGCGCTCCATCGCGAAAGCCGTCGAGGTTTCCCGGTGAGAGATTGGGGATTGTTTTAGGATATGTAGCTGGCAGTTCGACCAGCAAAATGAGAAGTATGTCGGGATTCGAAGAAGATCGCAAATGGAGCTTGAAAGTCACATCGGAGGATTGCTAAAGTGTACGGGTTAGTGACCACGGGCCCAACAGCTCAAAGAGTGCACCCACCTGCCAGGCCGACCGCCTATTTTCTACTTCTTCAAAGTCATCGCCATAGATGGAACGCAGAGCTTCCACCTCTGTCTGGTGGATTTCACGGTAATTGGTTGTAAATATGGGGGACGTCACGGAGGAATCGGAGGCTTGGTTTTTTTGGCGGGAGGGCTTCTTCCTCTGTTTGGGAGACATCGCGGGGCGTGGCGAGAGCTCGCCCTACATGCGACCCTGAGCGTCGTACGACATGGGGGCTGGTGATGAGATATGAAAGGGTTATGGGAGGTGGAAAGAGAATTGGGCAGTCTTTTTTTTTCCTTTCCCCTCTGAGGCTAGAATAAACAGGCGGTCAGATCATACGCCCTTCCATTTATAGAGTGGAGATGCTCAGTATAAATGACCCCGTTGGCTTTAACTGTGGATTTATAGATTGATGGATTTATTGCTTTAATTATACTTTGAATGAGTTGCATTTCATGATTCTTTGCATGTTATATTTACTTGAAGATTCTTCACAAGATATCCCATGTGTCTATTGACTTGAGATTAAGTGTATCATTATCATCATGAAACCAAAGAACCATTTGTCCCTGCCCAATAGTGGACCCAGATATCATGAAATAGTGAGGTGGTGAGCTGGCATACGGTGGCAATTGTTGTCATCACAATAGTCGATCATTTCTGCTCGTATTGGCTTTGTTCCAGCTGTGACTATCACACACCATCGAATGCACCCAGCAACACGCTGCCAGCCACAGCAATCATTGGTGCATATCCCCAGTGATTCCACTGCCCCTGGCCATGGGTCCAACAAACATACCCATCTGCAAATGCAACGCTGCTAGCGGCAATCAAGATCCAGCCCAGGGTTGAACGGGTGCCGAAATACGAGGCCGCATATATGGCAGCTCCCATGAAGACATCCCGGATTCCATAGATTACCATTAGACTGTCAACAACCTGTTTGTCCACGAGAGAGGTAGGTGGTTGGAACTCGAAGAAAGTGAGAGCATGGTCAGGACGAAGGATGGCATTGATGCCGAATCCGACGAATGTGGTTGCAAAGGCGCTGGCAGCCAAGCGGAGAACAACCGAATGAGAAAGAGGCATGTTGCTGTGCCAAGCCAGTCCGATGTTTGATGTTTGCGTAGTATTAGTATTTGTGGTGGCTTGAAGGTTTCAAGGATTTTAAGCGCTGTGAGAGATTACAACAGTTGAAGTTTATGGGAAAGACGAGGAGGGGCTTGTTATCCAGGACTAGAAAGCATGTTGGTAAGATTCTGGAAGCAGTCAGAACCCAAAGAATTGACCTGCAAGGCTGAGAGGGAGTTGTAGACCGACTCCAGAATGGATATGTCAAGTACGAAGTACGGGGTAGATCCTTTGGTACACGCACGTGTGTACTCCGTACACACACACCAATTATGGGACTGTCAACAGCACTCTTCTATCCTACGATTCCGATACCTTTCAAGGTAAATAAATTGAAAGAAAAGAAAAAACCCCCAATCCCAATTCAGTGCCAAGGGTAAAGTACGTTGTAAACAAAAGACAAGAGCCCGAACACGAGCTTATCGATAAAGTGATCGGCGCTTCTGCTTTTTCCGACCGCGCGGACCATACAACATAAACATTGGACTTCAACTTTGGGAAGATTTCGTTTCTTCCCTGGCAGTCAAAATGCTGGACTGGATCAAGGGGAACGAGCAAATTGCACAGGCTACAGGTGTGGTGATTACTTTGACCTTGGAACCTCCCACTCTAACCTGATGATGCTACAGATGACTCTAAGCTGCTAGAACCCCCCTGAGACCCCAGGCCATGTCTTTGCGATTCGTGCTTTCAAGAGTGCTATATTTGGCACTCCGGGAGCAGAGGAAGATGAAAACAACGCGTCCCAGAACCAGTCCGGTCACCAACGAAGCAAGAGTGACACGATAAAACTAGCACCAACAGAGATCAAGACTGACGCGAAATCAACCGACGCGACTTACAACCCCACGGGATCCCCCACGAAAAGCATACTTGTTACACCCGGGACCGCGTTGCGTCGTAAGACGGTATCCTTTGGTGAAAGTGTCATCGACAATGAGGGGAAACGCCCTGGCTCGGCCAGTAAGCCAGCCAAGACTCCGCCAAATCCGACCGGATCCCTCAGTACCCAGTGGATGTCCGGATCATCTGATGGAAGTGGCAAACCAAGGAGCAAACTCACACAGACACTCATGAATGCACGCGATAACGCATCCAAGAACTCCGAACCGGCAAAGTCTGATGAGAGCACAGGAGAAACAAAATCGGCCATAGTCCCTGGGACAAAGGAGGCCCTCGACAATGAAGACATCACTCTCAATCTGGAGGACCCCCACTCAGAGTCGGGCAAGTACTGGAAAACCGAATTCGATAATTACCGTGTGAGGACCAATCGAGAGATCAAGAAATTGATCCAATACCGGTCGATTGCCAAATCCTACGCTCGAAAGAAGGATACGGAAGCTATGCGGCTGGCCGACAAGCTGAAGGAAGAAGAAGAGAAGGTCGCCGAGATGGAAAGGCAGGTGTCACGGCTTGCCTCTTCGATGGTCGGGGATGGATCCACGGGCGATAAGGAGCACTTGCTTCAAGGTTTGACCAAGCAAACGGCTCTTGCGTTACAATACAAGCAGCAAGTTACCTCGCTGCGCAACACCTTGGAACGGCATGATGTCGTAAGTGATGCAGCAAATATCACACAAAAGAAAAAGGAAGAACTGCCTTCAAACGCCCAAACGGATGAGCTTCGTAAAACAAAGCAAGAATTGGAACAGGCCAATGCCAAGATTGAGGAGATGAAAACACAGCAGTCCGAACTCAGCACACTTCAGGACCTCGCGCAGAGCTCAGAAAAGAAAGCCCAGGCACTCGAGAAAGAGAACACCACTCTGAAACAAACGCTGGCCCGTGTGAAACAGGAAATGTCTCGATATGAAGGTCGGCGAAAGGACAAGGAAACAAGACTGAAGCAGAGAGAGGCCAGACTGGAGCAGCGGATCCAAGAATACAGGGAAAAACTCAAAACGGTCTCCCAAGAGCACCGTGCCTCGGAGGAGAACCTGAGAAATACCTCCGATGCAGAGCGTCGCCACTTGCAAAAACAGATCGACCTTCTAAAGCTGCGACTTGGTTCTACTGAGCGCTTCCCGGTGCTGCCATCCACAGAACGGCAATTCCTAAGTCCTCGTAAAGACCACACAGGCGTGCAGGTGTTTGACTTTGCTGGCCAGGATTTCACGGCTCAGGATCTTGAGAAACCTGAAGAAGAACCCACCGAAGATCTCGACCTTCCCCCAAGCCCGAGTCCACGCTCTAAAGTACGCGATTCGCGACCTAGTTTGCGCAGTGCCACATTGAGTACGCTTAGTACGAGGCCGAATGCCCGGGATATGGCCGCAAACGACGACGAGGTCACACATTATCTGAACGAAATTCTACTGAAACCGCGACACGAATCCAATAACAATGCTGTGTTGGATGGAATTCCTCCGTCCTCGCCTCCCGATATCTCAGCCCTGAAGTCGCTGAATCGCACGTTCTCAAGACGCCGACTCGGTGAAGGCCAGCGGAGCTATCGGAATCTGAACCTCCCTGCTGACGATGACACTCGACTCAGCAACCGACAGACACAACGTGAACGTACCCACATCAAATCTACCCTCGATTCAATCTCAGGCCTCCCGTCTCGCAGCCGTTATTCCGGGTACACCGTTTCAGCGGGCGAACGCGTGGGCAAGCGGTACGGGTTGACTGATATCCAGCGTGAAGCTCTCTCTCCTGAACGAATTGCCGCTGCCAAGTCACGACTCAGGCAGAAGGACAGTCGTAAAATCAAAGCACTTGGAAAGGAGAATGTTTGAGATCTTTGTTCACATTGTTTGAATTCGCTTTCGGACTTGGAAATAAGGAGTAACTTTTGGAGCATAATAGGACGGTGTTTGGGTTCATAAGCGTTACTCTTTTCATCCCGCTATTGCCATCTATGTTTTTAGCGAACATCAATTGTTGAATTATTGCTCAATCGGTGGCTGTTCTCTATTCCCTCAACCTAGACCGCTCGTAGGCGCTGTTCCCAAACTCGCCAAGCCAATCGCTGAAGCAATAGTATCTCTTATGGCAAGCCTCTTCGCTTCGTTGATTGTGAGCGAGACTAGTACATGGCTATTGCATCATTGTAGCACGCATATTTATTCACAATCTAGATTAGGTATTAACTTGTCTACTTCCAGCTGTGATCTTTTACTACTCTAGTTCATCTACAAACGTTCCGTATTGGCATATCCACCCAGTGTGCAGCAGAATTCAAAGTCTGCCATAAAGCACTGTCAGTCCTGCCTAGTGTGCTCTCAGGCCTTGCCATCAGAAAGCGATACGACAGCCCATTTCCCGCCCCAGGCCCACTTGCGAGACTCAGAGCCGCCACCTCCAGGCAATGCGCGGAGCTTCTCGTCCTCGCCAGCGGGGAGACCAACGACGGGGTCGGCCTTGCAAGTACGGAAGGCTAAAACACGGATCCCGGATTTGGGGCCAAGCGGGCCGATAGCTTCTGTGAAAGGAGTGGTGGGATCCCATTGAGCCTAGACATTGTTAGCAAGAATTCCAAAGCAAAAGAAACGCAAAGAACACCGGACTCACATCATTAACCAACTTCCGGTAGTTCAAGTCGCCCTTGAACAACACAAGCTCACTCTCCTTCAAATCTTCGAACAACTCCGGTGCCACATGTGGCATGCGCCAGAAACCACCTGGAGTAGTCCAGAAAGCGTGTGGGCGCAGAATCAGCTTCCCATCCTGGTGGAACTGGCTCCACTGCTCAAAGAGGAATTGCACATTCGAAACTTCCGTCTCGGAAAGAGGGGGGAATGTCTTGCCCGAGTCATCGGCTGCTGTGTAAAAGGCCTGCGGGTCGACCATGCAGTTGAGCAGATCGGAGAAATCCTTCGGCGTGACATCTGACACAAACCACGGCATGCGCTTGGGGTGGAGCACGACGCTAGTCGCCAGTCCGACAGACAGCAAGTATCCAGCGAGAATTAGGTCAACGAATAACTCAAATCCGGAGTTATCTAGAACGATATCGACGCGACGTTCGCCGTCCTTCTTCTCTCTACGTGCCTTTTGCATAGCCTCGAAAGCAGCGTCGAGATCGTTGACAATGATATTCTTCTGCGATGCCTTGCGCGCCTCGGAGCCCTGTAGTTTCTGGATATCCTCGTAGGTGAGAGATGTCAGGAGTGACAGATCGGTGGCATTGCCCCACAAGCAGATCTCGCACATCTCGGAGAAGAGAAGCCTCTCTGCCTCCTCGTTCTCTTCGGGTGACTTTTTCTCTCTTGCTTTTCCCGACTCTGCCTCTATCGCTAATTCACGATATCTCGCAGCGAGCTCTAGTACAGCGGGACGGGACGACTTGAATGTATCCATCTTCTGGCGGGCAAATACGTCATAGCCCTTCCAGTGCTTGGACAGCGCAAAGAGGGCTTCCATGCGGCGGTCTATGATCATCGTATGGTCAGTATTGCCGTGGTTTATCACATTTCCTGTTGGATTGAGGCTTCGTGCTTACAGAGGTAACACTCTGCATAGAGCCAAGCCACATCGTGCCAGTTGGGGTTTCCGCGCTCCTCAAGCTCTTTGTTATACAAGGCGATATCTGGGTGTCCGTCATCATCCAGGGGACTAGCCACAATAGACATGTTAGGTGAAGCTCTTGTAGTTCTGGCATAGACGATGAAAGGACTCACGTGAGTTGTCGATTATGTTGAAGCTCATACTTCAACTTGGCCAAGTTGGCAATAATGCTCTTGCCTTCATTTGCCTTCTCGTCATCATTGACGCCTACAACGGTGCGGTGAAGGTCATCAATGGATCCAGTCTAGAGTCGTCACACATATTCAGCAATTGATCCCCGGGCTATCGATTGTCTGCTGCAAGCTCACGATGATGACAGGCCACCGCTCATTGGCCGAGATCGAGGCGAAGCTCGAGTTGTCGGAGGTTAGGTATTGGGCTGCTCAGGTTAGCCCATTGTATTTGATGGCCGAGCAATAATACCTACGGGTCTTAGGATCGAATTC